AGCAGCTCCAGGCTTTTAAGAAAATTGGCTTTAGAAATAAAAACTATTGCGAGGTTGGTGTTCGTGGAGTCTTTGGTGGAGTTGTCCAGAATATGCATCTTCACTGGAAGTTCCATGAGACTGTGCAAGTTTGTTGTGATAACTTTCCTAAGGAAAGGATCAAGGAGATGGCAACAATTCTTGCAAGGTTAAGTGGTGGTATTGTGGTTAATGTACACAATGTGAAAACAATTATTATGTTTCGTGGTAGGAACTACAGACAACCAAAAAATTTGATACCTGTCAATACCCTTACGAAGAGGAAGGTATGTGAATCTAGTTTTGTTGTTGTTTTACAAGGTCTGCATGGTTAGTTGCCTATGGCTGGTCATTTTAGAAAAGTTCTGTGTCTTGATTGATACGTATGTTACTGGCTAGTGGCATCTACCTCCTGCCTGCTTTCTCTCTGGGTATGATTTCCCTGAGTTACCTGAGTTGATGATGAAAGTCTCAAGTAGGATGGTCTTTATATGAGTGGCCTTGAAGGTCAAAGCCACATTCACCCCTTTTGTTGTTTGTTTTGGAATTTATTGAATATCAAAATTGCTATCAGTTTATTAATACCAGACTACATCTACATTAATGTGGGGCTTCTATCCTGAACTTTTTCATGTGCTCAGTATGTCCAATGAGGGCAGTCATTTCTTGCATATTGGGTTTGTTTGGGGCATAGCTGCAATTCCATTGATGGAGTTTCTTTTGTAAATTTGAGTGCAATGATATAATTTCCATTGTTTTAGGCCATGTTCTCTTCAGGCGTTCTAATTCAAATTTCCTAGGCCCGGTCTGGTTTAATTTTTTTTTTGGCCTTCTCTGATTTTGATCTTCTGATTTGACTGAGCTTTGACCGTATTTGTACGCTAATATATAGGATTGGTCTTTTTAGATACGTCTTAATGTTTATACTCCAAATACTCTATTTTTCATAATATTCAATAATACAGAATCAAAGAATTTTGCAATAAGCTAATCATAAAAACGAAGATCCGGTCTGCGTCCCGTATGATTTTTAAAGAATAAGATATAAGTTCCCAAAATAAGGTGAAGAGAACACTGCCTAGTTGCCTGTTTTTACAGTTGCCTTGTACTGGTATTTAATGCTAATGTCTACATTTTGGTTTGGACATGCAGGCTCTTTTCAAGGCAAGATTTGAGCAAGCACTTGAATCTCAGAAACTCAATATAAAGAAGATTGAGCAGCAGCTTCGCAAAAAGGGAATAAGCCCGGATGATCCTGTTGCCATGGCAAGTATTCAGAGGGTAGCATCAACATTCTTTAACGCAATTGACAAGAAGGAAGGGAGCCCCTATGTCTTCCGTGAGGCTGAAGAATCTGTGAAGCGGCCTCTAAAAAGCTCAGAACACTCTGATCCTGCTGAGGATAGTGATCAAGAAGAGCTTGACAAATTTATAGCGGAGATAGAGGATGCTGTTGATAAGGAATGGGCTGAGGAGGAGGCTGCAGAACAGGAAGAGTACGGAAAGATAAGGTACCGGAACAAGGAAGAGTATGGTGGAAGATTCAACAAACCAGATCGTTTTGTAGATAATTTCTCCGATGATGGAAATAGAGGTCGAGGTAGAGGTTTGACGGATACGCATCGAAGGCAAAGAATAGAAGACAGTGAAGATGAAGATAGTATTTCTGCACCTATTGAAGAAGATAGCGCAAGCGAAGATGAAAGGCAGGCATATGATTCTGATGATGATAAACTTAAACGCCGATCATCCAGAGTTGAAAGATGGAATCCAGAAAGATCAAGAGGATCACATGGAAACCAAGGCTTCAAGCAGACCAATAATAGAATTACAGGAAAGATGTCTGAAGAGGAATCTGAGTCAGAAAATATGTTTGAGGACCTAGATGATGTTATGCGTGAATCTGATAGTGAAGTGGGGCATACACCAAGACTACCAAGGACTGCAAGAAATGAATACCGTAATGGCCATGGCTCAGAAAGGAGAGAGAGGAGCAATAGGGTAGATGGTGCAGGTTATCCTGAAATTGATAGTGATGATTCTGATGAAGGTGACAGAAATTCCAGGTTTAGAGATAGAACCAGAAATCAGGACAAAAGAGGCAGGGTTGATACTATGGGAAGAAAATGGGGGAGTGATGGTTCTGATATTGATGAAGATTTTATTGAATCTGAAATCGCCATGTACGGATCAGATGATGATGATGATGATGCTCTCGAATCCGGCGCTCTGAGAGGAGCCGATGAGGACTACAGTGGCTTGGGTGGGCTGTCACAACATCATGCAAAGGTGGAGGATAACAAAACCCCTAGGAGAAATCAAGTGTCTCGAAAACGGAATGATGATGAACTTTGGGACAGTGATTGAGCCCGGTAAATGTGAGTCCATCAGTGATAGCATCAATTATCACAGTCCTGGAGTAAAATTGCATTACCATTCGAGAAAGCATATTTCAGGATGACTGGACCGTCTCATGCACTGAAGATGGAAGTACTGCTTGTGAAATAACACATTGCTTGAATAGGCTCTGACATAATCATGAAGTACAATATACAGCATCTCTTCCAGAATCCATACTATAATATGGGCTTCTGTACTTGGGTAAGTACAATTTATAACTATGATATTCATACGAGCTCATGACTTTTCATGGTGTATTCTGTTCATGTTAGGGGTATCAGTGGTTAGGTATGTTTTTTAAGGTAAACTCATGCATCAGTGAAAGTGGGTAGAAATTCACAGTATATCTTAACTTTTGTGTTGGTTTGAAGCAATTTTCCATGAAGCTTAATTTAAATTAATAATGATTTTGTGTTTGCCACAAATTGTATTTTGTACATTATCCTGGATGATGTTTCTGAAATCGAAAACTTCTTGAGTTTCAGTAACATTTGTTAATGCGAAGTTCTCTGATTTATTAGCTAATACGCTCTCTTTTTTGTTTTGCCCTTTTTGTTTCTACTATATGAATGTGAGATCTATTTCGTATTTTCAATGTCGCGACACAGTTGAATACAAGTAGTTTTTTGATGTGATTTGGCTGTATGAAAAAGGAACAAGATCCTCTTCCGTTACCGATTGGTCCAGTTATTATACATGTATATGGAGGCTTTGTTTCGAAGCACATGAAATGTACTTTCTAGTAAAGTAGATCAGTGTTCTAATTATATTGCACCCCTGTTGGGTTTATTTATTTGCGCCGTAAGTCATACAATAGCCTATACAAAGATTCATGAGATTGCTCACATTTACAGTGTAATTTAAACAAGTAGCCAACTAATTCGAACAGAGGGCAGTCTTAGAGGAAGGTAGATTAACCAACGTGAGGAATTGTCACAACAGTTCCTGCATTATCAGTCCAGATCCAAACTCGTCTGCAAAGATAGTCATGAGTTACAATAGCCCCTTGCTTCTTGATGATCGCCCTTACAAAAGGATTCTGTACCTCAATTATCTTTTTCGCGACTTGAGCGTTTTTCCCTAGTAATTCTGGCCAGGCATTCTTTCCTGCATCATTATAAGAACCTTCATTAAATCATTAGATTAAGTAACTGTACGCCGTAAATATAAGAATTAAAATCGAAATTGTAGACCCAAAAAATAAAATAAAAGCTTAAAGTATTAATCACCTGGACAGTGAATTTGTGCCATCTGAAATTTTTGAAAAAAAAAGGTCCGCAGTTGCTGAAACTTTGAAAGTTTATTCTATAAAATTTAGAGCTAATTATGTGTATGTTATGATTCGTAAATATATGGTACAAAAATGTTATTTTATAGAGGAAAATTGTGCATGTGCAAAGCCTATTAATAGTAACACTTGTTAAGTGAGTGGAAAGTGTCTAGACTTCCAGAATTCAGTTTGTTCATGACATCCAGCATTTACTAACCTTAAGACACGGAATAATTGCCTGTTAATTTGAGGATTATTGCGTCATTAGTTGTCTACCGTATTTGATACGTATGTATAAACTTATCTAAATTATTTTATTTTTATTTAAATTTGAATTAATATGGTTTTCTTATTTGACTAAACTTTAATTAGAGGTGATCAACATCGGTCCGGCCCGAAAATAGGGCGGGTTTAGGCAAGTCTAAAAACACATTTTTAGTTAAAAGCCTGAACCTGAGCCAAAAAAGCTCGTTACATTTTTGCGGGTTTGGGCACGAGGTATCATGTTAAGGCCCAGCCAGACCCGATTTTTTTATCACCTCTAAATTTAACATAATGGTATACGAGTATTAATTTTGTTAAAAAAATTTATCAAATGAGCTGTCATGAAATTTGTATTAATGTAGACTTTTAAAATATATTATGAAGCTTTCATAATTTTTTTAATCACAGAAAGTACACGAAGTATATATATTTAGTGATAGGAAAACATAATAGAGACTAGAGAGGTATGGTATATCAGATATTCAAATCTAATCATTGTATAATAAGCAAAACATGGCCTAATTTAAACTCCAAATAAAGTTAAAATTTTAAGATGTAATCTTTTATTCAATGGAATCATTAACATATAGTTTTGTACCTGTATAGGAAATAAGAAATCCTGGACTCGTGTTTCATGTATAGATTTATTATAACTTGTTAAACGTATAAGAGGATCCCAAAAAAAAAATGATCATAGTATTAGTATTAGTATATATATGAAAGACAAAACTAAAGTTCCAAGAATCGGATCATTGTGATGGTTGCGATTTGTGAATTGTGTGATATCTAGTCATTTGATCATGGATATTTTTACCAAGAAAATGAGAAATATTTTTTTGGCGTTCAACTAAAATTGTAGACTATGACACTACGTACACAAATTGTTGGTAAATAACTTGATTATTGTTTATATGTTGATAGCCATAGCCATATACAAACGTTATTTATTAGATTATCCTCATGACCTCATGGTAGCACCACATTAACGCACGTGTGTTATAGATGTATTAAAAAATTATAACAAAGACGATCCATCAAATACTCATTATACAATAATATTGCTACTATAGTTTTATTTATTGATGAAGGTAGCAGTACATATTAGTTCAATCAAGGAGATAATGAACTTAATCAGCTAACTTTAGGTATAAGGACAATAGTTCCAGCATCATTTCACCCAAATAATAACCCTATCACAACGATTGTCCAGTTATTATGTGTACATGTATATGGAGGCTTTGTTTCGAAGGATATGAAATGTACTTCCTAGTAAAGTAGATCGATGTTATAACTATATTGCAAACCTGTTGGTTTTATTGACATGAAATTGGAATACAATACACTACTCCCTCCATCCACAATTGCTCGCATTAATAGTGTAATTTAAACAAGTAACCAACTAATTCGAACAGAGGGCAGTCTCAGAGGAAGGTAGCTTAACCAACGTGAGGAATTGTCGCAACATTTCCTGCATCATCAGTCCAGATCCAAACTCGACTGCAAAGATAGTCACGAGTTACAATAGTCCCTTGCTTCTCGATGACCCCCCTTACAAAAGGATTCTGTGTCTCAATTATCCTTTTCGCAACTTGAGCATTTTCCCCTACTAATTCTGGCCAGGCATTCTTTCCTGCATCATTATAAGAACCTTCATTAAAAACTTAAACCGTAAAAATAAGAACTAAAATCAAAATTGGAGACCCAAAAAATAAAGGTAATAATCACCTCTACAGTGAATTTGTGCCATCTGAAATTTTTGAAAAAAAAAAAGTCCGCAGTTGCTGAAACTCTGAAAGTTTATTCCTATAAAATTTAGAGCTAATTATGTGTATGTTATGAATTCGTAAAAATATGGTACAAAAATGTTTAATTTATAGAGGAAACGCATGAGCAAAGCCTATTAATAGTAACACTTGTTAAGTGAGTGGAAAGTGTCTAGACTTCCAGAATTCAGTTTGTTCAGGACGTACAGGGTTATCGGGCATTTACTAAACTTTGGACACGGAATAATTGCCGGTTAATTTGAGGATCATTGCGTCATTAGTTGTCGTCTTGTCGAGATCGAGGCTACGTTGAATTCACTATATTTGATACTTACTTATAAACTTATCTGAATTATTATTATTATTTTTTTTGTGAAATTTTTTTTATTTAAATTTGGATTAATATGAATTTTTTATTTGACTAAAATTTGACCATTTTGGTATAGTAATTTTGTGAAAAAAAAATTATTAAATGAGATGTCTTGAAATTTGTGTTAATGTGGACTTTTCAGATATATTATGAAGCTTTTATAATTTTTTAAGAGAGGTATGGTATATCAGATATTCAAATCTATTCGTTAGTAAAATAAGCAAAACATGGCCTAATTTAAACTCCAAATAAAGTTAAAATTTTAAGATGTAATCTTTTATTCAATGGAATCATTAACATAAAGTTTTGTACTTGTATAGTAAAATAAGAAATCCCGGACTCGTGTTTCATGTATGGATTTATTATCACTTTTTTTTTTCTTCTTTTTTTTTGACAACATATTATCACTTGTTAATATGGTTGTCAATTGTGTGGTATCTAGTCATTTGATCATGGATAATATTTTTACCAAGAAAATGAGAATATTTTTTTTTGGCGTTCATCTAACATTGTAGACTACGTACACAAATTGTTGGTGTATAACAGTTTAAATTGATTATTGTTTATATGTTGATAGCTATATACTAACGTTAGTGCACCACAAGTTATTAGGTTACCCTTAAGGTAGCACCACATCAACGCACGTGTTACGTGTATTATAGCTAGGTGTATTAAAAAGTTATAATGAAAACGATCCATCAAATACTCATTATATAATAATATTGCTACTATAGTTTTATTTGTTGATGAAAGGTAGCAGTACATATTAGTTAAATCAAGGAGATAATGAACTTAATCAGCCAACTTTAGGTATAAGGACAATAGTTCCAGCATCATTCACCCAAATAATAACCCTATCACAAGTGAAAAATAAAACAACATAAAGATCACATTAGAATTAAAGAGGAATAAGTATTGAGGTAATTACTTTCACAGCGATCCGCAAGCATTTTGAGAAATTAAAATTGAAAATGTAAAGATGTGTTTCTGGTTCATAGAAGATGAAGGGAGGGGGCATTTATAGAAGCATTTTGGATGAGTTATGCCTAAGATAAAGATAAAAAATGATTTCTTGCTTAATTATTAATTTTGTAGGAGATAATCTCATAATTATGAAATTTCAATTGCAAAGGATTTATTCCTTAATCTATATATATATATATATATATATATATATATATATATATATATATATATGGGGAGGGATCCGGTAAGAACCCCTCCTTATATAAGAACCCTAGTTATATAAGAACCAATCTCAGCCGTAGGATTAAGGTAATTTAGACGGTTAAGATTAAAACACGTATTTTTCCTCATACCCCCTACGGCCCTACCACCCGATCAAAATTTTCTCTCTCCTCTAACTTTCTCTCTCTTCGTGCTCATCACATTCTCTCTCTGCAAACCCCCAAAAATCTCCATAGAAATTGCAATTTGAAGGATTTTCGACTCAGGTATGTTTTTATTTTTCGATTTTGTTCAAATTTCCATGAACTTAGCATGTTGTTTAAGTAGATTTTGCGATTTTTTGTTTTGATTTTTGCGATTTTATGTTTTCCGATTTTTTGATTTGATTTTGCGTTTTTTTTTAGGTTCGGCAGAACTTCCACAACCTCTGGCACACTGACCTTCTTCGCACTATTCAGGCTGATACTCCTTGTAAGATATTTCTTCTTCTTCTTTTTCAATTTATCCAGTTTTCACAACTTCGGATTTTCACTGCGGAAATCACTGTTTTCTGATTTTTTTTTTTGGAATTTTTTGATTTTGTTGCAGATTGTTGTTTGTCGTTGTTCTGGTAAATTCTTTGATCCGCTAATTTCTCAATTGCTGATTAGTTGAATTTTAGTTTTGTTAGTGTGTTTAGTGATTGTTTGACGAGATATGGATGATTTTGCTTGTTGACTTTGCGGTTTATTCGAGATGATTGATTAGGTTTTCAGTTTTAAGAAAGTACTGAAATGTAGGTTTTTAATTGAATTTTGATTGTCAATTTTGTGCTTTGTAACTGAAATTCGTGGTAAGTTTCTGCTGGTAATTAGATTTTTGCGTTTTAAATGAATTTTGATTGTCAGTTTTGTGCTTTGCAACTGAAATTGGTCCTGAGTTTCAGTTGATATATTAGAACCTTGCATTTTAAATGAATCTTGATTACCAGATTTGTAATTTGACATAGATTGCTTATGAAATTTTCCACTTGCTCTTTTTATTTATTTTTGGATATTTTACAATTAGTTGATCATATTTAGGAGTATCATGTGATTGAATATAGCTTGAATCAAATATGGCTTCAAAATGCCTCGAGTAGTTTATAGACGATCTAATTGTGTAGCGAGACCGGGAGTTGGAAAAAAAAAATTTGCAATGTCAAGTAGACACTTGATATTTGTAGAACTTGGAGGAGATGCTTGATTTTTATTTTGTGCTTTGATCTGTAGCATCGAAATGAATTGTGCCAGATTAGTGAGGATCAGAAACAGTGAACAGAATTTTTAGTCATAGGAGTTACTCCCAATGAAAATTGATTTCTAGAAGGAATCTCTTAGGCTGAAAAATTCCTAAGTAGTTTATCGCTTAAGTTGTGTTGATTTAAAAGAAACAATTCAAACTAACTTTAATCCATGGAATATTATTGCAATGGAGATTAATTTTCCTATGTTGGTTCTTTGCTTGAAAATTTGGAGAGGAAAGGAAGAAGGGGAGATGAAGGGTTAGAAATGGAAGGGGGGAGGAAGTTAAGTTGGGGAAGCACATGTAGCTCTCCTTACTTAGAACAGGAATTCTTTTCCCCCCCTTAGAAAAACTATTCCAGCCTGGAAAGTTATTTTCATCCACTTACAAACCAAGCTAAGGAAAATTGGAAAAATTAGTGATTTTTTTTCGAATTTTGATTTCGAAATTGGTGATGTTGGTGCGATTGCCCCTGTTTGTAGGGGTTGTGGTGTGGTGGTTGCTTTATGCAGCATCAGCTAATTGGTTAGGGGTTGTTGGTAGTGAACTTGTGATTGCAGGGCTGAAAATAAACTTTAGAACATAGGTAGAAAAAATTTGGAACATAGGAAAAAATTAAAACATAGGTTGAAATAATTTAGAACATGGGCTGAAAATAAACTCAATCAAACCTTATCATGTTTCTGTTTCATTTGTCTTTTAAATTTCTAGTTTACTCATTCTATTTTGGGTTTTTCACTCTCCAACATGTTCTAAACTCTTTTTAAGCATGTTCTAAACTATTTTTCAGCATATTCTAAATTATTCCTATGTTCAAAAATATAATAATAATGTTGGAATGTTACTAATGTTTTTGATTTCTTAAAATTGCAGCAAAATGCAAAGCCAAAATGAAGAAAAATCAGAAGGAGGAGTTACTAATATACAAGAAGAAGAAATTACTTATGTAAGAAAAAGGTAACTAAACTAATGTTCTAAACTTTACCTATTATGTTTTAAATTTTGCTCTAAAGTTTTTCAATATGTTCTAAATTTTTCCCTTAAGTTCTAAAGATTTGTATTATGTTCTAAAGTTTTCCATTATGTTCTAAAGTTTTCCATTATGTTCTAAAGTTTTCCATTATGTTCTAAAGTTTTCCTCTGTCAAACTGGTGTAATTTACTTGATAATACTTCCTAGTAGTAGTTGTGTTGGGTAATTTGTTAGCATGTGTTGGGTAATTTGTGAGCTATGGTGGTTGTTGTAGTAATAATGGAGGCATTTGAGTTTCTACATGTGATTGTTTTCCTCTACTTCTATGGGAGGGCGTTGATCTATATCAAAAACCTATTAGCTCAAGTGGTAGAGCACTATGCAAATGCATAGATGATGTAGGTTCGAATCCTACATAGGCTATATTTATAAATAACTATATTAAAAAAAACTTTAGAACATAGGTAGTAAAAATTTAGAACATAGGAAAAAAAAACATTAGAACATAAGTAGACTGAATTTAGAATATAGGTAGTAAAAATTTAGAACATAGGAAAAAAAAAACATTAGAACATAAGTAGACTGAATTAGGCAAAAGAATTTATAATATAGATAGAAAAAATTTGAACATAGGAAAAAAAAACTTTAGAACATAACTAGACTGAATTTAGAACATAGGCAAAAGAATTTAGAACATAGGTAAACGAATATTTAGAACATAGGAAAAAAAAAACTCTAGAACATAAGTAGAAAAAATTAGAACATAGGTTGAAAAAGTTTAGAATATAGGAAAAAAAAACTTTAGAACATAAGTAGACTAAATTTAGAACATAGGAAAAAAAAATTTAGAACATAGGTAAAAGAATATTTAGAACATTAAAAAAAAAACTTTAAAACATAGGTAGTAAAAATTTAGAACATAGGGAAAAAAAAACTTTAGAACATAAGGGATCATAAGAGTCTTAGAAGTGGTTGAGGAAATATAAGTTGACTTTGATAGAAGAAATTGGATTTAAATACATTGAGAAAAGAGAATGGAGGAAATAGATCATGGATGATGATCAATACTTCAGTAAAATGAAATCTCGGTTCATGTAGCTGACTCGTTTTTTTTCCTTATGTTCTAAATTTTTTCCTATGTTTTAAATTTGTTTTTCCTATGTTCTAAATTTTTTATTTATGTTCTAAAGTTTTCCTATGTTTTAAAATTTTTTTCTGCTTATGTTCTAAATTTTTTGCTATGTTCTAAATCTTCTCATGTGTTCTAAAATTTTAAGCTTATTTTCTAAATTTTTTCAGCTTATGTTCTAAATTTTCTTTTTTTCTGCTTATGTTCTAAATTTTTTGTTTTTGCTTATGTTTAAAATTTTCTTTTTCTGCTTATGTTCTAAATTAAATATTTTTCCTATGTTCTATATTTTTTTCAAGCTTATGTTCTAAAGTTTTTCCTATATTCTAAATGTTTTTCCTTTGTTCTAAACTTTTTTTTTGCTTATGTTCTAAAGTTTTTCCATGTTCTAAATATTTTTTTTCTTTGTTCTAAATTTTTTATATTTATGTTTTATATTTTTTTCCTATATTCTAAATATTTTATTTTTCTTGATGTTTTAAATTTTTTTTGCTTATGTTCTAAATTTTTGTCCTATGTTCTAAATTTTTTTCCCCTATGTTCTAAATGTTTCGTGCTTATGTATAATAGTCTCACCCAAACGAAAAAAGTAGCAGGCTTAAACACACGCTGAGCATACTCTATATAATCAGCCAGCATCTTTAAGTAATATACAGCAACCTGAATAGGATCAGACACAGGTCCTTGATGCAAACATAGAACCAAGATGCCTAAGCCAGCATATACAAAACTGTTAAGCTCCTTTTTGCCAATCCTATCAGTCACCCACATGAGACGCTAAAAAAACTAGAGGTTGGAGAATCAACTAACAGCCCCACATACTCACTCTGAGCCCATATTACAACAACATCATGGTACTCAAAAATAGCATGTAAATAGTCTCACTAGCAGCCCCACATCCCTGGCACACGCTATCAGCAGCAATATGGGGATGGTAAACCTCTTTTTCATAGCAATACTACCCTTACAAGCCCTCAAGACGAAGTGTCGTAGTTTAAGTAGTCTTTCCATACCCCAAACCAGCTTCCATAAGCCTTTCTCCTTGTTTCCATGGAGTGTATACCACGCTTGACTTTAGTTCAGATGGTGAAGGACTGTTCCACTTTGTTACAGCTAAACTCTCATACAAACTCTCGTCTCGATATTATACAAATGAACCTACGTGGGATTCGAACCCACATCTTTTGTGCATTTGCACAATGCTCTACCCATTGAGCTACTAGGCTAATGTATATAAAACATTTGTACCCAAACCTTCACTTACACTACACTAAACTGCCTCACTAACACAATTGGAACAACACTTATTCAAAATGATGTTGTAAAATATAATACGACTGTTGAACAATATGAGTCACTTAAAAGGATATGAAAGCCCCAAATTTCCTACAAATCAAAGCTTAAGAAGTCAATAGGTATTGTCAATAGTAGCACATCATTTTCTCCGATGCATGACATACTAGGAAAAGGTTATAGCAAACGAAAAAGGTACAACTACGTCAACTAGACTACCTAACCCGTATTAAGACTCATGATTACATTATTTAATATCCAAAAGATTTTGTAGAAGATGGTGTATAAGTAGACAATTTAAACAGGTTGTACAAACAAATGCCAAGAAACAAGGATTGCCCTTCCTTTATTTAATCAAAAATTTGGTGGACAACTAACACATAGCTATAGGCATCAAGTATGCATAAAAAACATGCCAGCCAAGAAGAAAAGGCCAAACCTCTTATCTTATGCTGGGATTAATAACCTGCATCAAGAAATTTCAAACAAATTGAGAAATACTACGTACATTTGGAGATGACATTTCAACCTGAAGTGCAATAATATTCTACTCCAAAAAACACCATACTATCCACTAGTTTCTTTCAATCAGTACATGAAAAATGAAGATCACTAACAATTAAGAAGACAACAAGAGGATATCACTAATTTAGAACATGCTGACATACAAATCGCAAAAATCAAGGAAAAATTTGAGAAAAAATCGCATAAAAACGCAGCAAAATCACATCAAAATTGCAGCAAAAAATTGCATCAACATCGCATAAAACAAATTAAATTCTTCGAAATTCTTGGAGTATAAGTTACCTTTGCATTTCAGAACAAATTGTTGTACGAATTTATTGTTCTTCGTCTCCGTCCATTCAATTTTTCTTCGATTTCCGTCAAACTAGGTTTCGAATTTGCAAAATTTCTACTTAAATTTCTCAATTCAACTAGTTTATGCAACTTAATGAACAAATTTAGCTGAATTTGAGCAAAAAGTAGAAGAAAATCGTTGTAATTTGCTTCAATTAGGAGCGATTACGGTGGATTTCTGAGAAGTTTGGGGGTTTTAAGAGAGAGAAAGTGGTGGGAAGTGTGAAATGTGTTTGAGAAGTGTGAAAGATACGTGAAAGAGGAAGATGAGAGGAGGTGTATGTATGACGCATGAAATTACAAAAATGCCATTACTATGGCTGTATTTAGGACGGTTAGATCAAAACTAATAAACGGCTGAGATTGGTTCTTATATAAGATTGGGTTCTTATATAGAGGAGGGTTCTTACATGAGCCTTCCTCTATATATATATATATATAGAGGAAGACTCATATAAGAACTCTCATCTATATAAGAACTCAATCTTATATAAGAACCAATCTCAACCTTATATTAGTTTTGATCTAACCGTTCAAATTCATCTTAATAATGACATTTAAGTAATATTGAGGATCTTGTACAATCCAAATTTTTTTCCCCTTTCAAACAAAACTATGTTCTTTTGTTTCTCTCTCCTCACACTACTTCTCTATCCTCACGCTACCTGCTTCTCTCTCCTCGACAGCCAAACCTTCATCAGATTAATCAAAAAAATTCTCAACTTTTGGATAAATTGTTGTAAGTTTATCAATTGTTTTAGATTTTTATTTTTTGTTCTGATTTTTTGTTCAATTTTATGCGATTTTATTTGTTAAATTCATCGATTTTCCCACATTTTTTTTTCGATTTTTGCGATTTTTTTCATCCATTCTATTTCTTGATTTCGTGTTATTCATTAATTCTTGCGATTTTTTTATCCATTCTATTTCCTGATTTCATGTTATTCATCAATTTTTGCGATTAATCTTTCAGATTTTTTTTCCAGATTTTTGCATTTTTTTTTATTTCCTGCTTTTGCGATTTTTCCTGATTTTTTTTCCTAATTTCACTAATTTTGACTTTAACTTTTACGTTTTTTTTTGTTTTTTTAGTTACGATTTCATCTGCTCGTTTATTTGGAGTTATGTTTAATTTATAAAATTTGTGTTTGTGATTGATTTTCTAGATGATATTATGCTAAATATATATTCTGTATTTTCACATATTGATTCAGTCTGATGTTATATATTTTGTAGAATTCTGTTATTTTTGTCAATTTCACTTTGAATAGATTATTGCAAAATTTGCCAATTTCTAGTTACATTGTCAATTGAACTTGCTTGGTTTGTGTTTGATGAGGAGAGAAAAATTAATTAGAACATAAGCATAGTGGATTTACAAGAAATTATTTGAAGCAGAAAGAATCTGAACAATGGATATAATTAGAACACACAAGTATGCTCTACAAAGCTTATGCATGGCTTGTGTTCTAACCTTTCAAAGTGGATGGAATAGCTTGAATAATGCACATGTTTACCTTGGTTTCATCAGTAAGCTACCTTCTTCGTACGACCTTAGAATAACTATTATTAACCGACTTATAAGTTTTAAAGTTGCTATTCAATTTGATGTGCACATATATTTCTACTTAGTAGTCTTTTTGAGGTGCCACAATATGTTCTAAGCTCGGCAAATTTGGCACCAAGAAGCCTAGGAGCTCGAACTCTATGGATGAGTTGAAAACAAGCTCAACCAGGAAACAGTTTTGACAGCACCAAGCCGAAATAAGCATCCTTTTAAATGCTTTTACCTGCAAGCAATAGCATGCACTCCGTATTTTTTCAAGGATTACTCTATGGATCCATGTCCTTTAGTGGTTTCTATAGTTAAAAAGAAAATAAAAAAAAATATGTCCTGGCTATTAAAGTTGGTGAAGTTCTATGTTACTAATGGGCACTGATTAGGTTACGGTTGTACTTCCTGAGTCTGCTTCAGACCCCCTTTTGTCTAGAAATGTTGCTGCTTGGTTTATTTTATTACTGTCTTTTACTTTCAGTCTTTTATTTTCTGTAGTGTAAAAGGTCCCTGTTGGACCTGTTAGGCCTTTGTGGGGGTGCCATGAACACTAATTTTCCCCTGATTGCTTCATGGCAGCCTTCCTTTTTTTTTGTAGCTACTCTGATTGTTGCAGGTTAGCTAAATTCAACCATTGCAAAACTCATATACAGTGCTTTCAATTGCGCTGAGAAAGTCTTCTTAAAAACAAAAATAATTATAGGTTGTGATGAGCTGCTTATTTCCTATGGTTACTTATGAAATAATTGAGTAGTTGTGCATGATTACTTGATTAGTCTACTATAATTAAATTTATATGCAACACTTTTTTCCCTAGAATTTTGTGTATTTGTTTGATTTATTTTTAATTAAATTTGTTGATTTATTATCAATACAATTTGTTGATTTTGCCACGTTTTGTGTTTTTGAAAACTATAACATAAAGTTTATAGTTTAGAACATAAAGCAACTTTAGAACATATCGTAATTCACTATGTTCTAAAGTTTTCCTTCTATGTTCTAAAGTTTTCTCTCTATGTTATAAACTTTACCCTATATGTTTTAAATTAATCTCTCTATATTCTAAACTATATCCTTTATCTCTAAAATAATTCACTATGTTCTAAACTATATCCTTTATGTTCTAATAAAATAGTTCACTATGTTATAAACTTTACCCTTTATGTTCTAAAGTAGTTCACTATGTTCTAAGCAAAAGCAAATTTAGAACATAGCTATGTTCTAAACAAATTTAGAACATAAAGTAATTTACTACGTTCTAAGCAAAACAAATTTAGAACATAATTCACTATGTTATAAGGAAATTTAGAACATAAAGTAATTCATTATGTTCTAAAATAATTCAAGATGTTCTAAAGTTTTCCTTCTATGTTCTAAAATTTTCCATCTATGTTATAAAGTTTACTCTTTGTGTTCTAAAGTAATTCACTGTGTTCTAAAGTAATTCATTATATTCTAAACTATTATTTAACTATCTTAGCATGTTCTAAACTTTTATTTAGCATATATTAAGTTTACTCTTTATGTTCTAAAGTAATTCATTGTGTTCTAAAGTAGACAATCTTAGCATGTTTGTCAAAGCTTGTTTAATTAGCACTAGTCTTAACTTGGGATAACTTTTGCTTTAAAGGACTACTAATGATAGATTGATTATATAGCCAATATAAAGAACCCACCTTAATGCAAGTAATCGATCATCAAATTACAATAAACGATGCTAAAGATAGTGTTTAGAAGTGCAAAAGGATATGATTAAACAAAAAAAAATTACTTTTGTGATTATCTCATATAGTTGTTAGTAGTTTTTCCTCTAGTTCAAGTGTTTTATATACATTAGCCTACTAGCTCAACAGGTAGAGCATTGTTTGAGTTTTTTCATTAATTTCATCAATTTCGTTTTCTAGTTTTCTTTTTCTTCTTCAATTTCCAGATTTTTCCAAATTTTATTTCTAGATTTTATTTCCTTTGCTTATTTCCAGATTTTTTATTTCCAGATTTTTCTGTTTTTTTCCTTTGCTTGAGTTTTTCAACATCGTTTTCGATTTTATCCTATTTTGTTTTCCAGATTTTTGATTTTTAATGGATTTTAATTTCTGGTTGCTTTTTTGCTACAATTTGTGTTTTTCAAAATAGGTTTATGCATATTGATGGATTTAGATGGTGTGCAACCTAATTATCCTTCTTCCTGTGTTACTCATTCAGGTAATTTTATTGTTTTCAATGTTTTAATTTCAATTTACTTACATGTTCTAAAGTTTCTTTACTATGTTCTAACGTTTATCTGTAATGTTCTGAAGTTTTCTCTGTATGTTCTAAAGTTTTCTATATATCTCTCTCTTTATATTCTAAAACTTTCATTCTATGTTCTAAAGTTTACATTCTAACTTTAAATTTTACTTTTTATGTTCTAATGTTTACTTTCATTGTATGTTCTAAAGTTAACCTTCTAGTTTAATTTTTTCACTTTATTGTAAATTTTATTATGTATGTTATAAAGTAACTCACTATGTTATAAGTATGTCCCTGATTTTATATGTTCTAAAGTTTATCCTTGATGTTCTAAAGTTTATCTTTGATGTTCTAAAGTTTTCTCTGTATGTTCTAAAGTTTTTTATGTATCTTTCTCTTTATATTATAAAGTTTATTTTTATGTTCTAATGTTTACTTTCATGTTCTAATGCAGTTGGTGATATTTATCGTACTCCAGAGGTTGTTGGATCATTTAGCCCTGGTGGTACCACTAAGGAATGGATTCCAAGTGTTCCCGAGGAGTTAAAACCCAGTTTGGGGATGATATTTAAAGATCCTGAAGGGGGTCTTAGTTTTTATAAAGCATATGCAAATGCCGCTGGGTTTACTTCTAGGAAATCTACTACTAAAAGGAAGAAGAATAACAAAGATATAATTGCTTTTCAATATGGAGTTTGCAATAAGGAAGGTTTTAGGGCAATAAGAAAACCTATTGCTCAACAAACAGTTTATGAAGAAGGAAAAGTTTGTATTACTAGGAAACGTTTAGTCACTCGTGTAGGATGCAATGCTCACATATGTATGAGATATGATGCTGGAAAGTATGTTGTAACTCATTTCAAAGAAGAACATAATCATCCTTTATATACTCCAAGTTGTGCAAAATTTCAGAAGGATAATAGAAAAATGCATATTATGCATAAAAAGTTGATTGTTGATAATTCAAAGGTGATTTATTTTTATGTACTAAATAATGTTTTTTTTGTTTTGATTTACTATGTTCTAAAGTTAATTCTTAATCTTAGTAATATTTTTTTTTTTCTAACAGGTAAATGTTGGTCCTGTGAGGTCTTATACTATGATGAAAGAATTAGTTGGATCACATGATAATGTTGGTGCATCTAAACAAGATTTCAAAAATTTTTATAGAGATTTGAAGGCTTTTATTGATGGATCAGATGCCCAAATGTTTGTGGATAATTTTCAAAATAAGAAATTGCTCTGGAGTGCATTTTTTTTTTCCTATGATGTTGATGAAGAAGATAGACTTTGTAGAGCTTTATGGGCTGATCCTATCTGTCGAAAAAATTATGCACTTTTTGGTGATATGGTTTCTTTTGATACCACATTCAAAACAAACAGGTGATGTTTTAAATATAAATTTCTTTCATAATGTAATTAATATTTTACTTTTACATATTAATTTTTTAAACATATGTTCTTATATTCTAAATATCATGCCTTGTGTTCCTAAACAAATATCCATCATGTTTTGATGTTCTAAACAGATATTCTTTATGTTCTAAACTATGTATGCCTTATGTTCTAAACATATATTGCTAATGTTCTACCTTATGCTTTAAAATATATCCATCATGCTTTTATGCTTTAAACATTATGCTTTTGTGTTTTACACTTTATTCTTTGTGTTCTAAACTAATATCCATCATGTTCTAAACATTATGTCTATATGTTCTAAAATTTAGAGCATAGGATAAAATTTAGAGCATACGGAAAAAATTTAGAACATAGGTTTAGAACATAGGAAATAAATTTAGAACATAGACAAAAAAATATGAATATAGGTTATATATTTAGAACATGGACAGAAAAATTTAGAACATAAACAATAAAATGTAGAACATAGGAAATAGTTTAGAACATACATATATTTAGAACATTTTCAAATAATATTTAGAACATATGATAAAACCTATTAGCTCAATTGGAAGAGCACTATGCAAATGCATAGAGGATGTAGGTTCAATTCCTACATAGGTTATCTTTATAAATAACTAAAAAAACTTCAAATGTTTTTTTTTTAAAAAAAAAAATCCAATAAAACAAATTAAATTAGCACTAAGTTATATGAGCAGAAAATAAGTAGACTAAATTTAGAACATAGGAAAAAAAAACTTTAGAACATAAGTAGACTAAATTTAGAACATAGGAAAAAAAAATATAACATATGTAAACGAATATTTAGAACGTAGGAAAAAAAAAACTTTAGAACATAGGTAGTAAAAGTTTAGAACATAGGAAAAAAAAAATCTTTAGAACATAAATAGACTGAATTTAGAACATAGGCAAAAGAATTTAGAACATAGGTAAAAGAATATTTAGAACATAAGAAAAAAAAAACTTTAGAACATACGTAGAAAAAATTTAGAACATAGGAAAAAAAAACTTTAAAACATAAGTAGACTAAATTTAGAACATAGGAAAAAAAATTAGAACATAAGCAGACCAAGTTTAGAACATAGGAGTGGGCAAAAAAAAAAAATTAGAACATAAAAGAAGAATTACAGAAATGCCATTACTAAATGATCATTTTAGATTGTTGGATCAAAACTAATAAACGGCTGAGATTGGTTCTTATATAAGATTGGGTTCTTATATAGAGGAGGGTTCTTACATGAGCCTTCCTCTATATATATATATATATATATATATATATATTGTAAATGCGGTTGATTTGATTCTATGTATTGTTCTTGTTTAAATTCACCTAATATCTTAACATTGCTCACACAAGTAATTGTATTATCTCTTTTACGAGCAATGTATCTCTTTTATGAGCAGTGTATTATCTCTTTTATATAGGACACTTAAATAAAATTATACAATCTATATAAAAGAGATTAAGATACATGTATAATTTTATTTATGTAGGGCACCTATGTAAAAAAGATTAAGATATTTTGTATATAAAATTAAATACTCATATGAGCAATGTATTTAATCTCTATATAGGGCACCTAAATAAAACTATACATTGCTCATACAAGTAATTGTATTATCTCTATATACAAGGTATTTTAATCTCTTTTATGTAGGTGCTCTGTATAACTAGCTATAGGAGGAAGTACTAACGACTCACGGTGAGCCGTAAGTAATTTGTCTCACAAATATTACTTGTATAATCCTTCAGTTTTTTTTAAAGTGTCCCATTTGAGAAATTAGCACTATTCATTAGAGCTCTTTTGATTAATGTATGCGACTTATACATAAGAAAAAAAAATGGTCTTTATGAGTACTTGTTGGAATCGTTTAAATGAGTAGATTATTAAAATTCAATTGTTATACGTTATAGTTATTGATAATAAACTATATTATTGATTAAAGTTTTGCATCGACATGTGTGTCATATCACTATGGTATAGGAAAAAAGAAAGAAAGAGAGAGAAAGGAAGCTCCAGTCGGATTCTTTTAAGTACCACTAAGAGTGTATTTTGTATCACTGAAGCTCCAGTATTATTATTTGATCACCCAATAAGACGTCTCGAAAAGTGCATCGAAACGCCTCATAGCTATAGTGCGTAATGATAATATAATTAAAATATATTCAGTTACTTTTGCTCTAAAACTTAATTTTGTTAGCTTTCTTGAACTGTTATGGATGTTTGTCATTACAATTTTTAGTGAGACAAAACAATGTCAGATCCAAATAGATATAATAGAAGTGGTTGTTGACTAAGTTAGGTTTTTGAAACAGTTCAAAAAACATAGTGAAATTCGGTAGATTAATGAAAAAAATTAATAATAAGGATCAAATGATAAAAAAGTGAATAAATAAAATAGTGAGAAAATTTCCCTTCAAAAAAAAAAAAAAAAAAAAAAAAAGTCAGGAAATATGGTTGTTTAAAGTGAAAAGAAGTAGAAAAACGTGAAAATGTATATTAAAAAAAAAAAGTTTCAGTTGATTCATTCCTCTTATTTCTAGGAATCGAAACTTTTATTTGAGACTACAATTTTTCTAGGAATCGTAACTTTAATTTGAGACTACAATTTTTTGCCAAAATAATAATGAAAAATTTAGTACTTCCTTCAATCCTTCAATTGCTTTATTCCTCTTATTTCACAATATTAACAGTTATGTTGCATGACTTGCAATTTTTATTTTTACCTGTTGGAAAGGAAAAAAATTAGGATAACAAAACTAAACGAGGCAATCCAGCTCACAGTTATGAGACAGATGATTTTTCAAGGGGGGAAAAAAAAGAGTTAAAAAAAAAAGGAAGGCAGATTTGGGTGAGTCAAACTCTGCTAAATGCTTGATTGAATAGAAATGTTCAAATATTCTACCAACAATGAGAGTTGGAATCTTGGAAAACGATGCAAATTATTCAGTTTTCACAGGCAGCAAATACTTTAAAATTTATCACAAAATTTAAATCTCCAAATTTCTGCATAACTAATTGTTCAGACGTCGTCGAACCTATGACCATATCTAATTTAACACGAGCCCTTTGGCCATTCCTGTCTATCAACATCTAACATGAATGACTAAAAATCAAAATTCCAGAGTTTATTACATCTGAATTCGTAAAATAAACTAAAGGTAGAAAGTAAAAAAAAAAAAATTGACATCATAAAGCAAGTTAAGAAACATTCATTCCTGTCCAATATCCTTACATGTGTAGCTGTTGAGGTTGATTCTTCGGGATATAACCTTCCTTGGTAGATGCGAAAGCAATGCCATAGAATAGAGCCAATGCAGAGAGGGTTGAGTTTACAAATGGTCTCAGTTGAGCAGGGAGGTTGCTCATCTTACCTGAGATGGGGAACAAAGCAAACCAGATGCATCTGCTCCGATCACAGCGAGCTCACAAACATTACATATTTGCCCCTCTTGGCTTGGAACAAACCGTGCAGTGCAGTAAGGACATGAGACATCTTTTTGACCACGATAAATTGGCACAAATGTGGCCCCACATGTCACAAAAGGATTTCTGAAATCATAGTCCAATTCAACTGCATTATTCATGTTCTTCTCGGCAGCTTGTACAACTTGCCGGGCAAGCTTTTGCTGTTGCTCACTGGGATTTGTCTCAATGAGCCGTCTGGCAAAGCTAGCAGCTGTGAGGAGATTCTTAGCTCTGAAGCAAACGGTCATAGCATTTTGCAGGGCCAGCTTCAAATGAGTAGGTTGAAGCTTGCAATGAGTGAAATAAGCAGCAAGCTCCTGCTGACGCTTTGGATCGTCCTTCAGCTCCCTTCTCTTAGTTTCCATCTTGAGACCCAAGACATACTCTTTTACTATGTCAATCAGTTCTTTAACATCATCAACTTCTCTTCTGGACTCCACAACTATCAGAGGAATAGTATGAAGCATACTTAAGAAGGTCCGAAGGGCATCCGAAAATTTGCCTTGTGTTGTGAGCTTGTAACCGGTCTTCAGTTTCTCTTCAATTTGGGATAAACTATACACCAAGGCCGGTGGGCATCTCACATTAGGGCTGGCTGACTCAGTCCAACCCCTTTCCAAGGCCACAGAAATAACAGGAGCAGATGCAAATGCACGTAAATAACTATGACTACCAGAATAAAGATCTAGGAACATGGGTTTCAAAGGAGTAAAATTTTTTATCCCAAGTTGCCGATTCAGCAACCTCATTGCAGTATCAAAATTCCCAGCAGCTGCATGCTCAGCAGCAAGAGCTGATCTTTGAGTCCAGATTTGACTGACGGGCATGCCAGGAGTTGGAGCAACAAATATTGCTGAACGGGCACTAACAGAAGCTCTTGGAGTATCTATCTCCGGGGGAAGATCCAAATCCTCCAAGATCCATCCCGGTTCCTCATTATCGCCAGCTACTTCTTCGTCAACCAAATCTTCTGCCATCTCCTCATTCTCAACATCATTCATATTTAAATCATTATCCCACTCACCACCAAACTCTTCCTCTTCCTCTTCAGCATCGACCCTGTTAACAGTATCAAATTCGCTGAAGATCCCCTTCATCACTCTCAACAGGGGCCAATCTCCAGCGCACACAACAGGTGAAGGAGGTATCAATAGAGAGGGGACCTTACCTTCAGGTAAGGACGGAACATCATCTCCCAACTCAGTAGCTAGCCTCTCAGCAACATCATTCAGCCCATGGACTGAAGCAGTGATGTAAGCCAGAGGTAAATGCCCCGCATTCTCCAAAATCTTCACACGCTCCTCCACATCACCCAAATAAAGGGCATTGTGAAACTGACCCATAACATCATTCTTTACCTCAGCAATTTTCAACATCTTGTTTAACTTTTCCACATTTCCTGTCATTAAATAAAGAAAAGACAGCCTCTCAAAATTCTTTGTCCTCTGGTAAGCATATTCTACAATACCAGCATTACCCTGGCGAAGAGCCTCCAGCCCTAGTCTATACCAGTGATCTTTCTCATCAATTTCCTTCGCTGAAGCAACAGCGATTTGAATATTTCCACTCTCCAGAGCTAAATTAAAACGGGTCCTCTCATCTTTAACAAAATGCAAAGCAACTTCAGGAAATCCTTTCTGCTGCAAATAAGCTATCATTGCTTGCCCCACAAGTTGAGAGCTTCTTATCATGTTCATCACATGGTCATACCTCTTCCTCAGCAGAGATAGCTTGAAAAGATACTCTGTTGCATCAATAACTATGGCCTTGTTCTTTCCATCCCGATCCAAGCAAAAAATTGTATTCCCAGAAACCTTGGTGATGTAAATTGGAACGTCGAGCGTTTTAATAATGCCACTATCTCCATTAGGAAGACAATACTTGATGTGATTTAGAGTTGTATAGATGAATACTCCATTATCATCCCAGGCTCCACTCTTGACTCGAATCGTTTCATGAAGCGTGCATTGATGCACAAGCTTTTTACTTGCAATCACAATGGCGTGTTTACTAAGCAAGGCAACACTCTCCATGTCATTTGACCAGACAACATACTTGACAAAAGGGGTTTGAAGTTCACCAAGAATACTCCTTTGTTGAAGGTCAAATATAACGACCTTATCCTCTGCCCTACAGAGCAAGTTGCCCGTACCAGCATAGAATATTGCATCAGTGGCAATAGGGAGGACACTCTTTTTCCCAGTCTCATTCTTCAGATTCTTTATCAGCACTTCATTTTTGCTTTTGTCAAGCACTGCAAACCTGTTACGAGCAATAAAAACAGCAGATCCTCCAACACCTCGTTTTGCCTCTTGTGCCGTATCACCCCTACCAAACGAATCTTTAGGTACAACATAGAGCTCATAAGACCCACCATCAACATCAGAACATACAAGGACAGCATTCTCTGTAGGACTATAAGAAAGAGTCCGAGGACCCTGATTTAAGCTTGTGGTGCCAGGCCGGCGAATAGGAATAACCTGAGTATCTCGTTGAGTTGAAAATTCAAAAAACCTCAAGAAACGGTCTTTAGCATAAAACATGGCATCACCACTGACATAAAATGCAGGACGCTCTCTCTCCAATTTGAAGACAATCATCCCACTATCATGACCAGCAGCCAGGAGATTCATCTCAGGATGAGCTGCAAGAATCCAAAATCTATCTTGCTCCCTACGAAATGTCTGAATGCCGGTCCGCTTTGTTACATCCCAGACACGAATACTTTTGTCTTCTGAATTAGATACAATAATATCCTGTTTGGCATGGAACATGACACAGGAAACATTGTTCATGTGTCCTCTCAACGTGTCCACCTCCCAAGCTTTTGTATCTGATAAAAAAAATGTGCTAGTAAGAGCAAGTCATTCAGCAGAAAATCATGCAAGAGCAGGCACAAGAAGCCTCAGCCTAAAAAAGAACTGAGAGCAAACTCTAGACTTAACGTGATAAATATTCCATGACATCCAAGTGCAACTTCTACATTCTAATAAAGTCAAACCTATGGTACACATAGCTGACAATAACCATCTGGAGATCCTGCTACATAGAAGCCAAGTTTGACACCAATCAAAAGGAAGTTTAATCACAGCTTTAATGTACTGCGAGATACAACCTAAGTTTATGAAAAGCACTTCAGCAAAAAAAGGTTGAAATTACCAGAACTTGAAATTTTTCTAATGGTTAGAATAAAAGTAAGAAAAGTTTAAAGAGAGGGGGTCAGTCTAGGGGGTTTCAAATAGGTATGCTAGATTTACTTGAATTTTTTAATGTTTAAAAATATAATAGTGTTCAAAATTCAGCACATGAAACCAACAGCTGTTATTAGTATAATGAAACTTTTTTTTTTTTTTTAAATGCTGCTTTCCAAAGCAATATCTCAGTCTCAGATAATTAGTCAATTGGCATCAACCACTTGATTCTTATATTCTACATCAGTTTTTAATATCCTCTTGTTGCAATCCTTCAACAATTAACAATGTTGAATGTTTCACTTTTTCAGAAATGATGATGAGAGGAACTCTTACAAGAAAGGCATACTAAACAATACATAGCTAAAATTAGGGTATATAAAGATGTACAGGTATTAATTTAACTGGAAAAGGTAACTATGCAAACTTAATAGCACCGAACGTTAACTGTAATAACACAAGCGCGCGCGCGCACACACATACCAATGTCCTACTTTATCATTTACGTTAATTTTATAGTCACAAAGCTACAGGAAATATTTCATAAGAAGTTAACAGCTCAATTACTCTATATTTTATACCAATGTCCTCTTTTATCTATCAAGTTGATTTTATTAAAGTCACAAAGCTATACTTCCTCCGTTTCTTTTTAGTTGACATGTTTCTTTAGTCACGTTTGCCAATGCACAAATTCAACCGTTAATATCTTTAATTACCGATTACCAAAAATTATAAAAAGTTTTTATTTTGAAAATATACATCATGACGAATCTAACAAGACCCCACATGACTATATTTTTCATTACGTATAAATCACAAAACACAGTCAAAGGGAAGTGTGTGAATAGTGCTAGAGTCAACACGTGTCAACTAAAAAAAAAAGGAGGTAGTATTTTACAAGAGGTAACAGCCCGATTACTCTACATAAAACCACATTTAAATAAAATAAAAAAGAAACAAGAGAACAATCAAATCAAAAAAAAAAATAATAATGAAAAAAAAAAAGATTTATGTCGATTGTTCAAAATCCAACGCTTTTCTTTAAGTGAACAGAACATTAAAAAATGTCTACAGGGACAAGTAAAATGAACACAAGATATCAAGGATTAAAACTGAAGGCATATAGGTTATTGTTTTGGAAAATCAAAATAGCACACTAAACTTGGAACAAGGGGCTAAGGACTAAATTAAAGAACTCTTTGCTAAGCCGACAAAGGCTGTAAATTGGGAACATATATTAATTCTGATTTTTATAAAAAATGTGACTTTGGAGTGAAATCCAAAAACCTACCCTGGAAGTTACTCATTGCCAGTCTAGAAACTGGGAATGTACTAAAAAAGTGGTCGCAGAAAACCCTTGTATTCTATCTATGAAAGAGACAAAACAGAAGAAATACTGGGTACCAGAAACAAACAAAGCTCCACTCGTCCAAAAGCAGCAGGAAAGCAACAGATTAATTCCTTATTTTAACTCCCTATCAGGTGATGACTGATGACACATATTCCTCCAGATAATTTAAGCCTTAATATTATAGGAGAGAGCATTGTGAGATCCACCAAATTGATGGAAAGTCATACGATTGAAATATTTAATAATTAAATCCTGAAATTAACAACCATATACAATGGGGAAAAAAAACCAGAGGGTCACATAATAGACTTACCATTCATACGCCACAATTTCACTTGGCGGTCATCAGCTCCAGAAACAATCAAGGGCAGACTAGGATGAAATGAAGCCCAATTAACACCCCTGTCATGACCTTCCAAGACATACTTGACCACAGCATCAACCCCACCGAAAAGATCTGTATTCATCTGACTCAGACGCAATAAGTCATCTGCAGGAGATGCACTTTTCTTTTTAAGTGACCCGATATCCCAGACCCGAACAGTCTGGTCAAGAGATGCTGACACAACAAGGTCATCTTTCGGATGAAATGAGGCACACATAACATAATGGTTGTGTCCTGTCAAGACAGAGATACATGTTCGCGACTGCCAGTTCCATATGCGAATAGTCTGGTCATCACTGGCACTCACAATCCAAGGGCTTTCGTGGTGGAACTGCACTGTACGAATATAATCAAGGTGTCCCAGTAGAGTAAATAGACACCTGTGAAATTTATAGTTCCAAACTTTAATTTTGTAATCATCACCTGACAAAACAAAGGAAATTGTACATACATCACTTATGAGACGCATATTAAAGAAAATGTCAAGTTTTACCAAAATCATCTACAAAGTATAACATAAGTGGACCTAATACACAATCAATGCACTCATGAAACAAAAAACCCAAGTTGAAGATGTTCAACAAGAAGTTAAATGCAATGAGAATCCAACACATCAAGAAAACATGGGATAACTAAAATATCTTGCATCTTTAATCCTATAATTATATTAAAAACCACACATCTATAATATCTATACAGTGGCATATGCATTTTGCTCCACATCCATAGAGATTATATAGTATGGTATAAGAATACAGCTAACTTGAGGACACTTTCTTCAGTGCATCCAGGAACTCAGATCAACAACCTTGTATCATTTCTCATCTATGAGTTTCTATACCAACGTCCCAACTGGCCTACAAATTATTGTGGAACATCAATCTTAGCCCACAAATTACTAGTTCCACCCAAAATTATAAATTTAGGTATCATAATCTGCTCATTAGCCTGGAGACATTGGGCAATGGATCGGGCATTGGGTTGATTTGGCTGCACTCCGGCTCATTAGACTTGACACATTCACTAATGTGAAATGAGATTGGTTGAGACTGAGAAAATCAGTCCATATATAAGTTGCAAAGAATTAATAGGCTATTAAGGTAAATAAAGGTCACTACTAATCCATGCTTCAAGACCATAAGGTTGTAAGGGATGTTAGAGAGGGTATAAAGGCAAATTCTCACAGCTTACTACTATCTTGAAGGAAGGAGACTATTTTCGACTCACATAAAGAGATGAACATTATTTATGAACAGGATATACATGTTATAATCTATGGCATGAAGGTCAGACTATAATTCGATGCAACAATTGACAAACAAAAACTCAATGAACACAATATTAATATAATTGTATACCTCCTGACACAAATAGTGGCTGAGATTTATGAAAGTGAACACCACGAACAGGGCCATCATGCTCATCAAATCGGTCAATCAGTGTACCCATTCTGTAATCCCATAGCTGGATCACACCACTGTGAAGACTCGCCAAGATCCATGGCCTCTTAGTGTGGAAACTGAGTCCCTTAACCCTGTTACTCTTTGTCTCGAACTTCGTCAACATCACTCAAATATTTCTCGCTGCAATCAAACATAATTCAATCAGAACAGATACAGCGAAACTAAGCTCTAAGCATCCTGATTATGTTTTTACCATTCATAACAATGTAATTTCAACAAAATGTCCACTCAATTAATCGTTTACATACGTCGAAACATCAACATATCCCTGTCTCCCTTATTTAGTACCAACTTATAAAATAATTTACGACTTCAAGCTCAATCACATACAAATGTACAGATAATCAAAGCACACACTCAACAGTCATTCCAAACAACACAGAAAAAACACATCAAGTACACTAAATTCTCCCCAATTTCTCAATCCGCTACTAATTAAAACAATCTAAGCTCATTATTTCACCATAACAATAATTAAACCAAAAATCTGATCGAATTCAGAAAAAACCTAATTACACATAATGCTCAAACTAAATCAAACCGAAATCAAATAAAAACTTACCAAATCAATTACAACCCTAACTAAAAACAAATCAAACCGTAAAACAAACTAATTAAAAGCAGATCGAATGCCAACAATAAATCGATTATGAAACAAAAAGATCGGTGAAATTAAAATTGAAACAGAAATTGAAACTACAATTACCTTCAGATCTGAAAAGTAAAACACTAGTGGTAGATCAAGTGAAGCGCAGAATTTGCATCCAAAATCGACAGATGAACAAGAGAGAGAAAATAAAAAATAGAGAGGATTTTAGGAGAGAGAAAATGAGGGAGTGGAGAGAAGGAGGGTTTTTTGTAGTGTATTTATTTTTCCCCTTTTTGAGTAGGAGTAGTATCGTAGATCTGGATTCACTGCTGCGTTTAATTAGAGAGTAAGGAAGGGTGTAATTTGTTAATCATAGAAATGAAGGTGTAATCAATCTTTTAGCCCGTGCAATGCACGAGCTAATTTTGTATCAAAATTTAGAAATTCCAAGGTGAGAAATGTACAATGAATCAATTATTGGAACTTTTTGTGTTTATTTTTGCATAGGTAATATTGGTGAATATAGGCGATCATAAAATTTTTGTGCACTACTAATGAAGTATTAGATATACAATGAAAAACTTGCAAGTTAAATACTCTGTATAATATTCCCTAGAGCAAGCCCCAATTTATAACTTTGATAAACAAATTATGTTTATCAAATGACATTTTCGTAAATAAGTTGCATTGAAAATTGTGTTTTTTTATTAAAAAAATATATTTTTACTGTTTGTGGGTCACTACGACAAGTTGGACAGATTTTTTAAGTTAACACCGTTAACTCACCGTTTGCTACTATTCATCTTCTTCTTCCTCCCACCTTCTTCTTCTTCATGTTCATCTTCTTCCTCTTGTTCATATTTTTTCTTCCCACCCACCTTAATCTTCTTCCTCTAATCTCTGCTCACTTTCACCTCCTCCTCCAAGTCCGGTTGACACCATTTTCGCCGGCGAAATTAAACGAAAACCCTATAAAGGAGAAATTAATGGCTTGGTTAACCCTAAGGGGTAGCTGAGTTTTCCTTCCTCCATTAACGTACCACCAAATTAAACGAAAACTCAAATAACAAAGTGAAAATAACGGACATGGTTAAGCCTAGAGGGTAGGTAAGCTTTTCTTCCTCCATAGATGTCACTTGTTCGAGTCATAGTGAGAAGGGGTGTTTTCCACCATTGAAATGGAAGGTTGAAGGAGGAGAGAGAAAATCAGAAAATACCTAAAGGTTGGAGGAGGAGAGAGAAAACAATAGTTTACCAAAAGTTATACATCCTGTGATAAACAATTTTTGTTTATCAAGGTTATAAACTTGTATTTTCTCTATTCCCTATTTCCACTCATACAATAAAATAATAGTTAATTAGAGTATTTAAATTTATTGCAGACAACTTTAATAACAGAGTACGACTGATAATATCTAAGTAGATAAATTAATATTACAACTCTAAATTGAAGTAATAGAAGGTTAATGTAGTTCATATTGGTTAGTAGATTTGTGTGCCATAATGTCAATGGGAGCTGTTGTCTTTCCCTTGAATCTGCAAATAATTTTAATATTACAATTAATATTTGTAAATTTAAATTTGTATATATAATTTATGGTTTTAGGTTACTCACTTGTCTTCCCTTTTTTTTAATATTTTTTTTTTATTGTTGGTCTTTGGCTCTGTATTTTCATTCATTATAAATTTATTAGTTACAGTACTACTTTTTAAACATATCTTATCAGATATAGGCATACATAGTTGTAACGCATATATTATCTTCATTTTTTATTATTTACAACAAATAAATATTGTATTATTATTTGCAACAAAAGAATATTGTATGTCTGATAAATAATACTCCTTTGTTGTAAATAAAAAGAAGCGTTGGTAGTGTATGCTTTCTTTTTGGCGTTAAACAAATAGTTGAGCTTTAAATTGGTACAGATGGACATAATTATATAAATGATTGATATTATAGTTGGACAAACATGTGTTTTGCAGCTAATAAGGGAAACTATATAGTTTAGTTCTTGATATGAACCAAAGAAAACTTGCCCTCCACATTCTAATTAAATTCCAATTGTTTAAAGAATAATTATCAGAGAAATTAGTTCTTGGCTTTTAGACAATGTATAAACCTACGTGGGATTTAAACCCACTTTTTGTGTACATTTGCACAATACTCTACCAATTGAGCTAATAGGTTACATGATTTTTATGGAAAACATTGCCAAACCCCTATCCTTGTAATCTTAAATTGAATTGAATTCCACGAACTATAAGTTATCTTAAGTTAAATTATGTAATAATATTACAATAAAGAATCTCAATCAAGCACCATCGCATCAATATATTTTATTGAACAAAATTCTCTTCAGCATATACACAATATGAAACAATAGCAAAAATGTAAAAATGCAATGAAATAAACCAAAAAAAATTCAAAGTATTGGGCTTGAAACAACGAAATTAATTTCAGCAAAATCACAGCATCTAGTTGGAAGATACACCCAAAAAGGTAACCATTGTCAATTATCAGAGTAAAATCAACTGTAAATTCAATCAGAATGAATTAATCACGTTTTTGTATAAATGAATAAATCAGACTCTATTATAACATAGGGAATATGTTTTCTATCATCACAACAATCAACCAAATGTAACCAAAAAACCATTCTTCACAGTTACACACACACACACCATTCACTTCGGTCATTCCACATATATGTTCTTTTTGAGACATCTTGATAGCAATTTCAAGAAGGCCTAAAATTTCCCAGCAATTCGACTTGTCATCATGACCTGGCTCTGGCTTCGACTCTACTAGCAGCAACCAGGGTCTAGGGTGGAGTTGGTTTTCGGAATCCAATTTCAAAGCAATCCCACCAAGAATATCAGAGGGCAACACGGACCAATCACCCCCATCTACGCCAAGCCGAAACCACAAAAAAAAAAAAAAGTGTTGCTTTTTGCGCGACTAGCCTCACCAAATAGCTGCTTGCAAAAGAACAAAGTAACTTCTATAGTGCTGATGGAATAACTCATATGATACCAAACAAATAACCCCTATAACACTGAACGGGTAACCTCTATAGATTTGACAAAGTAATCCCCATAATAGTTGGCCACATGCCCACATTGCGTGACCACAACATATAAGAGTAAGGTCCTGTTCTTTTGAGCTTCTGAGCAGATTAGAGAACAACAGATTTCAGCAGAGCAGAGGACATCAAGTTTTAGCAGAGCAGATTAACAACAGATTATTACGAGTAATACTCAGCAAAGTAGAGCAGATTTTAGCATAACATACCACATTAGCTCAAAAGATCAGGGTCTAAGTTACTACATTAAAATCAACTTCTCGTATTTGAATTTTTTTTTCTTATATTATATATTTAATATTTTTCGAATATAATATATATCCCGTGCATTTTGCACGGGTACACTCTAGTATAATTAAAAGAATGTCAATTTTAAGGAGAATGATCCAAATGCTAAATTGTGCACTCTCATTCAATCCCTCCAAAAACCATCTTTTATATAAATTAAGAGATGTTTTCCCAAATTCTCTCCACATCACTCCATAACCCCAATCCTTTAAATGTGCGCTCTCTCTCTCTCTCTTTATTTTTTTATTATTTGTATTGTTGTCAATAAATTTCACTTCTCTAAAATTTGGAAAAAAACAATAAAAACCTCCAAATATTATTTTTATATCTTTCAAAATCATTCAATAACTACCTTATTATTAATTCAGTAGTCATCCAATTAAAAGAATAAAAAAAAATAAAAATACTATATAAAAATAAATATAATATATATAAATAAAGTAGGCATTTTTAAAGAGCATGTGGCGCGCCACATAAGCAAAGGTATGTTTTCGACCAATTAAAAATTAGATTTCTATTCCACCTAAATAAAAGTGACGAATGAGATTTAAGAATTTTGCCACGTAAGTAAAAACAACAAATAGTGATTTATTAGGATTTAATTTAGAAAAAATCATCTTCAGATATGAGATTTATATATATACCATTATAAGATAAATTTTGATAGTATTTATGATAAGAAATAAAAATCTTGAATTACCATTATAAATTGACGCATCATACGACACCAATAAAATTTTGTATCACTATAAAACCAAATCAAGCGAATTTTGTGTCAGTTTTATTAGGTCATTAATGGCTGGGTAATTCTTAGCTTAATTTTTCAAATCCATGTTTAAGTGTATATTTGTGATTATTGCTTACATTGTGTTTATTTGGGATACTTAATGATTATATGTTTATATTTTGTTAACTGAATTTTGTTTTTACATGCAGATCTAATTTAATCATAGAATTAAATTTGAGCAAAATGATTGGAAATAAAATCAAAGTACGAGTTTCTCGCCTGATGTTCCTATTGGATGTGAAGGTATTATATCTTTATAAATCGTTTACATTTATTAAATTTTTCAATAAACCTTTTTAGTTTTTATTAATTAATTTTATGATTAAATATATTGATTTATTTTATAAGACTATAAAGATTAATTTTGTATAAATTTTATTTTTGCTAATCTGTTCTATTTATCCACTTTTATTAGATGGAAGAGATATGAGTGTGAACAAAGTTGGTGATTCTATCGGAATGGAAGTATACATGTTTTGTTAATATGTTTATCTATATTTTTTTTAATGTTCTTCTCAAAATATCTATTAGGGGAATAAATTACATAAAATTAATAAAAAATTATCCTTAACAAAAACAATAGCAAATTAATCAAATATATTATGAGTGTGATCTAATTACAAAATTTATATTTTGTGTGATTTTATGTATAAAAAACCGTGGGATATTAGGATTTAAATTATTACAAAAATAAAAATTATCTTATAAAATTAATGGTTCAAATATCCAATTAATAAGATGTTTTTTCATAAAAAAATTAAAACAAAACTTATAGCTCAATAAAAAAACTTTACCTTCTTTAAACATTCATGTGAAATTTATGTTTAAAAATTTGCATAGACAAATAATCTCTCAAAGATCAAGATATCCCAAGAAATATACAAAATGATATATAGATTTGAGAGTTTAATTTCAAGTGTAAAAAACAACGAATAATAATTTAGAACTTAAATTATTTTTATAAAAAAAAATTATCTTTTCACATTAAAGATTCTATCCTAATATGTAATCAATGAAATATCATATTTACAATTTTTTTTTGGAAAGATATCATATTATTATCATATGACTAACAACAATGAATAAAATACAAAACAATAATAAATATATTCATATAAAAAATTATACTTTTTTAATAGGCAATAACATATTAATTAAATTATTATGTGTTTTTTTTTTAAATTATTAAATAGTAAAATAAATCAAATAATTATATAAAAAAAACTTAGAGTATATTGGAAAATATCTTTTCTTGAGATTTATGTATGAAAAATCGTGCATCGCACGAGCTTTCATCTAGTTTATAGTATTTGAAAAAAAAATTATTATTTATTTTAATATCTTACTATGTGATATATATCCCGTGCATTTTGCACAGGTACACTCTAGTAATTTCAATTTTAAAGTATTTAAATTCCCTCAAAACTCCCATAAAAATAAGGTAACCGCTTATATCAACTGCTATCTATTTTCTTATATAAATGAACTTCCTGAAAACTGCCCTAAAAATATGAAAATCATTGACTCTATCTCTATCTAATTAATTTACTCTATCATATATACAGTGCGTAGCACGGGTACAATCTAGTTACTAAAAATAAATCTAAAATGCATGAGATTTGAGTATTGTGGTTTTGGAGGCTTCACATTAAAACGACTCTTAAATTATATATAAGATTAGTATTGATTTGTTAATTCATTGGATGTCACTAATTAAAATCTATATATCCCGTATATAATGTAAATCTATATACGAGTATAAAATACGAGTAATTGTTTAATTTTTATCTATATAAAAATGATTGAAAAAAAAAGTTCAATTTTTGTCTATTATAACAAAATTAAATTAAATTTATCTATTTCGTAAATGTTTCCAAAAAAAAAAAAACATTTAATGTTTTGTATAGCAATGTCCGATCCTCAAACATTGTATAACGTTGTACCCATGGACAGCAAGTTAGGTTTGTCATTTTTTAAAAAATTGAATAGTTTTTTTTTTTTTTGGTTCATATGAGCCACCTAGGGCGGGGATGAGAATCGATCTCAGGATCACCTGGAACCGGGAGGAAAGCTCTTACCAACTGAGCTATCCCTCACTCTCTCTAAAAAAAAAAAAAAAAAAAAAAATCGAATAGTGTATTATATGCATAGAATTACATGCTTTTTAGTACGATAGAAGAAAAAAAAAAAAAATCAAACATAGACTATATTTCCTAATGTCATCTAATAATACCAAAATGACCAAATGGCAAATGTATAGGAGAAACCTATGTATTCTTTGTGTATTACTGCTTGAAAGACATTTACAACATCACTTTCAACCATTATACATGTAATTAAAAAATAAAATTTTGGGGTAAATATTAAGAGTTGGATCATTAAAAAAAAATTAAAAAAATTTGGGGTTAAAATTGTTGGACCATGCAATTGACGCATAGGGTAATTGTAGGTAAATTTTAATCACTACATATTGTTATCATCATCCTTCAATATAAAGCAAGATAGAGTTAAAAACATTGGAAGAAACAGGGTCAATAACTCAATGTTCTATCTTTTGGCTTTTACCACTTGCGATGGATTAGTGGAAAAATTGCTTTAGAGGACATATTTCCCAAAGTTCAAAAATTTTTTGTTGAATTTTTTTCCTGACTGAATGATTAAATAAAAAAATCATACTACACTACACTACAATCCCATCTTCTGATCACATTCACCTTGCATCTTTGCAATAGTTTTTTTTTTTTTTAATCTAGTTATCATGATATTGGTTTACCTTGTTTTTTCAGATTTTCAGATCTATTTCTTGTTTTATTGAGCTGGTCTTTTCTGAAATTTGTAGTTGTGGAGAAAGATGTAGATGGTGATGCATGTGCAGGAACTACAGTTGGATTTCTATGTAGAATTCTGCTTGTTTAAAAGGTTTTTATAGAGGAGAAAGTGTTTCAACAACTAAAGGAACCTTCTTTTCATAAAATTAATTACCTTTTTTTTTTTTTATTAAGTTCCAATTCCTTTTCGTATTCTTCATGAAGATGCTGTACTAGGATCTGTGCATATTGTCTCTCCTTTCTTTCTTTGTGTTTATGTGAGTGAGACAATATCAGTTCTGACTGTTGTATTGTGAATAAAGATTCCTTGTTTAATTTGTGAGTCTGTTCCATGGTTACTTTTTTCTTTTGAAACCTATCTCAGGGAAACTCCAATATCTGATCAGTATCTTGTCTTTACTGTTGAAATTTGAAACACCTCTTTTGAATTGCCTATCACGTTGAGGCTTTCTCCTTCTGTCGTATTTTACATCTTTACTGCTTTAGCCTGTGATTATTTCTAAAGCGTTTCTGCAATCCTGTTGTATTTGACCCTTATTTTCAACACACAATTTTGTTACAAACAGGCTGAATTGATCAACTTCAGAGTATTCTTAATACCATGCCTTTTGGACTTGAAATTTAATATCATGTGCTTGGTTCAATTCTGGAATAAATATTTTTTCTTTTATTTGATTCCTGAAAGTATTGGTATGAGCTACACCCACCTCCCCCCTAGGTTTCCAAACTCCATACCTTGTGGGTTTGAGGTATGAGTTTAAATGTCTACCAAACACATGGTATGGGTTCAAACTATTCTAAACCCATATTTCATACCTTAACACCCAATCTGTCTTTTGCTATTACTGCTTGAATTCTTCTTGAAATTGGACTGATATCTCCCTAACATTGTAAAATCAGTGCATGTTTGAGAGAGTTCCTTTGGAGGTTTGTGTTATGGATATCATTTAATTTTGGCAGAATCTTTGGAGAATAGGTCCTGTTTCTATAGAAGGTTCAATATCATGGTTTAGAAGCAGAGTGTGTGATTGAGTTTTGCTTTGGGATAATGTGACATATGCATAATATTCAAGTCTTGCTTTGCTCGTGTAGTATGCTATTAAAGCTTTTGTTTGGTATGATGACATCATTATTTTCTGGTTGTCCTTAACTGACCTTTACGCTCAGAGAATGTGTGGAGAAATTGCAGCTTCTGAAGACTCCAGAAGAACGCCAACGAAGGTTGAATGAAGTTCCAGAAGTTCATGCAGATCCAAAAATGGATCCTAGCTGTGAGTCTGATGATGAGATTGAACATGATAAAAGACAAGGTATGTCCATGACCTGCGAAGTCAACTTGATTGTAGTGATTGTTATTTTAAAATTTGTGTTTTATATTTTTGCATGCAGCAAGTAACATGAGACCAAGAGAAAGTGGTCATTTCAGAAGGGGTAGAGATCATTATTCATCACGGAGTGCAAATGCAAGACCTCCGAACAAGAGTTGGGAACCAGGCAGAATTTTTCCAGTAAGGGTTTCTCAAACAGAAGGGACGATACTATTCTTTCCCCACAGAGAAGTGAGCATACTTGGAATAATGGGGTAGACAATGGTACACCTAAGTCAAATAGTTGGGAGAAACCAAGGAGTACTCCGGATTCGTTGATGAGCAATCGGGCTGAACATTCTGGGATACGATCAGATTTATCTGTGGCGGCTGCATCAGAACCTACTCTGCCTTTATCTTCTGCAGCAGTACAAACTGATGGACAAATTGATGAGAAAGAAAAAATGTGGCATTATAGAGATCCAACTGGGAAGGTCCAGGGACCATTCTTTATGACACAGCTTCGTAAATGGAGTAGCACAGGATACTTTCCTGCTGAACTAAGAATTTGGAGAGCCTCCCGATGATTCTATTCTTCTAACTGAAGCATTAGCTGGAAAGTTTCAGAAGGATCCCCGCTCCGTAGGATCAAATTTAGATGTTAGCTCAAATATTAGGAATACACTGCCTATAACGGATGCTTCCAAACTCTCTGGTAGCAGATATGATTCCTCTAACCTCCCATCTCCAACTCCTATACGAAGCCCAGCTGCCTGGAGTGGAATGCAAACTTCTAGTTCTTTTAAGTCGACTAATCAATTTCGAGGGAACGAACGATTACCTTCTCCTACCCCCACATCACCTGCTTCAAATCCAAGCGGTGTGGATAAGGCCAAATTTTCTCAACAATCTAAGGGCGAAGTAGCTGGGAACAAGCCAGAAAATGTGGCAGCACCTATGGGAACAGTTCAACATGCTCCTGTTCAGTTTGTCTCCAATAAGGTATGGTAAATGCCCAACAAATGTCATCACAAGCAAGTTTACATGCAGCAGCAAATCAGCCATTTGTCCCTTCTGATACCACAATGAACCTAACGAAAGTGGGACCCAATGCTTTGGGTGCTGGTCAGGGCTTCTCCAACATTGTTCAACCAGGCACTGAACAAAATCCTCCTGTCTATACTCACAATTGGGGAGCTGGTTATGTTGCAAGACCAGAAATGGTGAATGCAAATGTGTCGACATCCAATAATCAAAATGCTTTGCCCGCACAAGTCTCTTATAGTCAGTGGACTGGTGCTGCTGTAAATAACCAGCCTCCACCTTATGCTGCTGGATATCCTCCAGGACAAGGGATTATTGCCGCAAACTTTCCTGCTATGCCTGCAAACAATGCTTGGAGACCTACTCAGGCCAACATGCCATGGGGCGCACAACAGCAACAGCCAGTTAACCAAAATGTAGGATGGTCTGGGCAACCAGCTGTTGCTATGGGCCAACAATTGACTAGCCCTTCACCAGGAGCACCAGCTATGGTTGCTGCGCAGCCAACTGTAGGTTGGACGGGTACAGGACCCAATCCCTCTGCTGGAAACAGTAACATGGTTTGGGTTGCTGCACCTGGGAACACAGGTGCATGGGGAGGTGATCAGAACCGCAATGATGGAGGGGCTCGTGATAACCGCAATGACGGAGGGGCTCAATGGAACAGGCAGTCATCATTTGGCAGTGGAGGACAAAGAGGAGTCTGCAGATTCCATGAAAACGGCCATTGCAGGAAGGGTTCGTCATGTGATTTTATGCACTCTTGAATTTTCACAACAGTAGTAGATACTAGATAGTATCTTCTCATGTACAGTAATTTTCGTCCTTGGAGGAGGGGTAGCAGCTCATTAATATTATAGATACTTGTATGTCACATGCTTAAATAATTGTTATCAGCAGCACCCCTAATTTTCCTCCCTTTTGGTATTGTCAGTTCTCTGACCGGTGTAATAGTGGATTTTGTAGGGGGGCTTACAGTTAGCAGTAGTAAAAAAAATGGTTGCCGGGTATTAGATTTTGTCCAGATTTGGTTAATGCAAGCTATTGGGTAGATGTTAAAAGCTTAAAATACCAGTCAAAATCATAAAAGTGTTGTCGTCAATGAACAACTCTTCATAATTTCCCACTTTTTCTCTTCTACTTCGTGCCTCTAAGATTGCCCTAATTTTTTTTCTCTTTTGGTTTACCTCTTACCGTAATCAATTATGATATACCACAACCTGGCTCTTAACACACTATATCTGATCGAACTTTCTATTTCATCAACTTCACCCAACCAGAAATTTAACAACAATACTTTAATAAGGCAATTTTAGGGGAGCGGAGGAAGTAGTTCACTAGTCATTTAATTACTGAAACACCTTTTGTGCTAAATATAAGGCTCGATCATCTTGTTGGACTGTTGGTGATTAAATTGTTCAGTTTTTACTTCACCCCTTTGGATTTGAGAACTCTATGCTTGATTAGTGTAAACATAAATTGTTAATGGCGGTGCTCAGCTACTTCTGATGGATTGAATATGCACCAAATACATTTTATACGCTTTACAATATTTTGGTTCAGGAAAGACGGTAATATAATAAAATTGTTAACCCCATTATTGATGAGAGTAAAATAAAATGTTACATGTAGTATAAGTGGAATAGATTTAGGGCCATTAGGGGCACTCAAATGGAAAAAATTGTACATACTCTTAAGAAACTTTAACCTATTCGACTTTCAAATGGATTCTATAGTATAATCCATTATTCTTTATAATGTACACTTTGTATCAAAAATTCGAAATAATCTTAATTAAATGTATTTCCTGTTTATTCAAACCTTGTCTCACTATTTATATAAAAACTAATAAGAAAACGTGCCAACTAAAAAGAAATGGCGAAAATATCTTTATCCTTGTGTAATTGTGTCGATGTTAAAAGTAGCATATATTGTCAAAATTCACAGCACACACAAAAGAAACTTTTTACCAATTCACTCAGTTGTGACGGTGTTAGATAACTAGCATGACAGTGGCTCACTCAAAATCATGATCCGGTAGGACAAAAACCTGCACATGATTCCCAGTACTAATTTCGAATTACTCCGTATACCCCCTGTTTATTTTTTAGGCCAGGCAGACAAAATATGATAAATCCAATTAATATGTAATATCTTGTCTTGATAAATGCCAAAATTATAAATCCGTTTCTGGACACTCAGTAGAGATATCGAAGGTAGTATTTCACAAGTAAAAAGGTTTAAGGTAATACTAAGTTCCTTCGTCCAAATAGCAACTTCGTACCGAACTTTCTTCTTAGTCCAATAACATCAATAAATTCAATGGCAGCATTGAGACATAAGATTTCACAATGAAAAAATTCACATGCTCATATCAAGAGTGTTGCACCTTTCAACACTCAGAGGCTGCATGAACAGATTTTTGAGATCTTCAAACCTAAACCGATGTACAACATTTAAAAGATAAACTATCAAAATAATAGAAGTTACAGTTAAATTGCAATCTAAACACTCTTGAGCCTCAATCATCAACAATGCTTTCAACTATTACCTAGTTTGCCTAAGTACGACGCTTTCGGTCTTCATCTTCATCTTCATCTTCATCTTCATCTTCATCTTCATCTTCATCTTCATCTTCATCTTCATCTTCATCTTCATCAGAGTCCCCACTTTCACGGAAACGTGGATTTTTCTCCTGCATAATTTGCAAATAAATTAGCGACAGCCTTCCTCAAAAATGCCAAACATAGCTGGTGGTTCACACCTGCCAGGCTTCTACCTCTAAGAGGTAAAGCCATTGATGGAACAACTAAATAACAACCAAGGTTTGAAAGAGACATAAAACCCACCGGTCTAGATTCATGGTCAACGTTCCTACGTGGTTCATGCTCACTTCTCTTTGGCACGTCAACAGGATGACGATCGTCCTCACAGTGTCGCTTCCAATGGAAATCTTTTAGTCCAAAAAACAAATCATTTTAGATTTAAGAGAAAGCAAAAGTTGACTCACTAACCAAAAGGACGCTGTGAGAAAAATATGAAGTCACATAGGAGTTACCTCTGCCGTGCCGGTAGGAGCCTCCATGACCATGATTTCTTTCATTTCTACCATCTGCATTAAAATTTGTCATCATTTTCAACGTCAACAATCTGAAGTAATTAGTTGAAAAGATAACTTTTGTAAAAAGTAGGTTGGTACACTATACACTTTCAATTTATACTTGGCAAGTAGTAAGCATTAGTGAGTTTAAAGAGAGAAACACAAATTTGAAATACTAATTAACTATCGGTGCGCCTACGTTTAAGTTCTTTGGTTTGCCATGATGCGCCAAAAATTATCAAGATATAATATAAGAACTTACAGTTGTTAGATGGCATAACAGGCTGAAAAGCTCCCAGAGCTCCAGCACCATAATCCACAAGCGTCCTCTGCACCTCAAGCTCTCTCTGGACCAATTTTCCATAACCACCCCTACGTACGATGAGTTAAGGTAACTGATCGAATGATGAGCAATTACAAGAATGGTACATCAGTTAGCAAGGTAAGTTAAAACATATAAATTAACCAGCACTTGCGATCCTCAGTCCCAAGAATCCCAACAGTAATGGCAGACGAGAAAAAGGCAATTGGTTCAGTATGATGTTGTGATGTATAACCACTGTACAAGCTGATCTTCCTCTGATTAAAAACCATATCTACTGGCTGGAAAGCAATAAAAAATGAACAAAAGGTGAGCATATAATCAAGAGGCCTGACTCCAGTCCTGCTAAGATACAGCAGAACCCTAATCCTATTGAAGTAAAGCATATATGAGATATGACATGACAGCACACTACCATAGGAATTACATAAACTAAACGACCTTCAGATAGAGCAATAACCACGATATCAAGAATATTAGCTGAGATTATGACTTAAATAGATAAAGGATATCAGGATCATAGTCAGTGCGATATTCATCCGGCACCAGGAAAAATGGGCAGTGAAAGAATAAGCAGAAAGGTAAGAGCTAAACAAGGAGATATCTAACCTCAAAAGAAACTAACAAAAAAAAGAGAGAAAATGAGACACAACATGACAAACAGACCTGACCACCACTTCGACCACGTCCCCATTGCCTGCCCTCTTGAAAACCCCAGTCAAAGTCCACACGGATAGGGCAATCGTCAAGAATTGTACCACTTATATACTTCACAGCATCTTCAGTATCTTCTCGGGAGTAATATCTGTCAAATATAATTTAATGGTCTAATAAGATGTACGGAAAATTTAATCACATATTTTGCCACAAGTCAAAACAATTGTCAAGTTCGTTGATGCGCAGTTAGCAAATAACCAAAAGAGAGTTTTTATGCAAAAAAAAAAAAAGATAAATTATTATACACCATAAGTTTATTCTTGTTGGGAACAGTCTGGAAAAAAGAGGGTGAAAATTTGAAACTAAAGCTAGGGTGGAACAAAATAGTGATAATTATAATAGCTTAATAATTTTCAAAATATATTCTTCGTTCATAATGTAAGATGAGGGCCGAGAAGAGCTTTAAACTGGAATGCAAAATTAACATGAGAAGAAAATATCAATCTAATAAGGTATCACCAAATCGTGTCTCATAAAATCATTTATCAATTTTCAGAAATACACATCAAGTTTTTAAATTATGCCATGAAAACAATTGATTAAATAAAGAAAGGCTTCCACATTTTTTACGTAGCATACTAAGAAAATCATGTACTCTGTATAATTTAATGCAAATTCCACACACCTCAGATTAGTAAATATGAAGAGAAGTAGTCCTTACAATACAAAACAAAAACCACAAGGAGTTTTCGAATTCATATCCAAACCCATAATCATCTTTTTAATCTCTCCAACCCGAGAAAATAGCTCATAAACTTGCTCTTCAGTTGTATAGAAAGACATGTTTCCAATATAGACAGTCGTTGAGTTCTTGAGTGCTTCCTCAAATTCTTCTTGCCAGGAAATCTTCTATCTCGGTACGCTGAGAGCTTATTTAAATCCTAATTACAATACTAATTACTGTTATAATATTTACGCATTTTCCATTGCAATATTAACACATTTTCAAAACTCTGCATGTTCTAATTTGTAAGATGCGTATAGCCAAGCAAATTACTGTTATAATATTTACGCATCTAATATAAATTTTCCACACCTCTTTTATCTAATATAAACAAACACCTTAACTTTGTCCAAACTTGTTGAGATCAAGAATAGCTATCTAATATCTTGCATGTCATTCAATTTCTTAAGCATTTACATGAAATAGGCAGCTACAACAACAGTACAATAAAGGGAGTATGGGGGTCTTACCTTGAATAAAGAAGCCATTTATACTCAAAAAAAGGGGAGAATTTCAAAGAGTCCACTCTCAATAATTGGTGTCCTGCAAAGATAGGACAAGTATTAACTTTCCATCCAAAAACAGAAGGATTCTGTCATTTTGATGATTAATTGAGTATTAAATCGACCCATTTACGCCTTCATACTTCCCCTAAGTAATCGTAGTGACCTTAAACATTCAGCTAACAGGCCCTTGGTTCCAATATATACCAGTAATAAACTAATAAATTTTTTTTTAAAAAAATACTACCTTCGTTAAGTATTAGTTGCAATTTTGAAATATTTTCTCACTCTCAAACAATATCCCAAAGTTGCAACTAATATTTAACGGAGGTAGTACTATTAATGAAAGTGTAGCATAAAACTGAAAGCGCTGCCCAAGTATTTTGACACAAAAAATCACTTTACATATATCCCTCAGTCCCCCATACCAAAATTTTATGTGGAAAAAAGTATAAGAATTCATTTATTGCACTGTTTCCCTGAAACATATAGGCCTTCACATATATGATTCCAGCATAAGCAAAAACTATTAAGAAAATTCACTATGTTTTACAATGAGCCACCAATTGTTTTAATCCTTTGTTTGAACAGAACGAGTAACTGAGATCAACAAGTACCACCATCATAGTAAAGTGGTTAAAGTTTCGGAAATAAGGAATATTTGGGACAGCTGAACCATGTTCCGATACCTGGATTAGCTGGAGCCTATGAGCAGGCCCAACACAAAGAATTTTCCATGATAGTTGCTAAACCTTCAAGCCGAACCTGAATAGGAGTAGGCTCGACTTGGCTTTAGACATGCTCGGCTAGAGATCGAAGCTCGACGAGCCTCAAAAACCAAGCTCGGCTTAAATAATGCAACACATTTATAACCAAATTTGACACAATTATTAAATTAGTCTCGAAAAAACACATAAATTTTTTTCTGGCTTAAGAATATTAACGTAAATTGCACATATTAATATTCTTGCAACAAAATCGCTCGTTATAAGCATTAATAACTTGAGTAATTGTAACCAAAAGTTCAGTAATTGAAGAAAGAATCCACGTTGGAAGAACCTAAATTAGCAATACTGACAATTAGTTAATCGTTAATGCGAAATTAAACCCTAGAATTTGAAATTGATAAGATGATTAAAAAGAAAGTTGAAAACACCTTACCTCAGAAACTGCTTCAATGGAGGAAAGGAAGCTGAGAAGCCGTTTCAATGAAGAACTCAGAGTGCGCTTCAATGGAGGAGAGATAAAGAGGGGTGCAGCGTACAAGTGAGAAGCTCCGAAGCGAAAAATGAAAAGGAAGATTAATGAAATAAGTAAAATCAACCAATAGATAAAAATGATCAGAATTTATTCATTTGCTGGTAATTTTTTTTTCCGTAGTACTCCCTCTGTCCCTCGATTTTTGCCCCATTGTAAAAATATGGGTCAATTTTTAAAACTTTGACCATGAATTTTCGTTGATCTATAAGTTATAATATATTCATATGGTATCTTGTTAGAATTGTTTCATTGTATAGTTTATTAATATCAAACTTTTATAATTTTTACGCGTATAAAAATGGTGATATATGTGTTTGGAGACCGTGAAAAGTTAAATGGGGCAAAAATAAAAGACTGAGGGAGTAATATTTTTATTTTGGCTATCAGCCTATTACGGATTTACGGGGTGTTTTACCTACCGCATTGACCAACTCTACAGTGTGTAAGATTGAACACTTATCCGATCAAGCTTATACGAAACGGTAATAACTATTCTTGTAAGGCCCCATTCACTTCACCTTATTTTTGTTGAACATAAATTATTTTTAATGAACTTAAATAAATTTTACTAAAATTAATTTTGCTGAACTGAAATTATTTTTATTTTTATTATATTTTGTCTCTAAAATTACTGATTTTCGCTTAACTAAAATTATTTTTTACCGATTTTCTATTATATTTTTTCTTTAAAACTACTAATTTTTGTTGAACTGAACTTATTTTTATTGAATTGAAATTATTTTTACTGAATTGAAATTAATTTTGCTGAATTTTTTTTTTTAAGGTGAAGTGAATAGGGCCTTGTACTAGTTGAGTCGTTAAAAGAATTGTAAGTTGTGTAACCATATGGAGCGGCGTTTGGTACCCTCACTAGTTTACTACTTTACTCTATTAATATGTGCCCAATATATATACTCTATAAATATCAACAAACTAATTTATGAATTAAAAAGATCAATTAAAAGTTAAAGAGATGAAATTGGCAAATTTTAGTAACCTCCCATTATTTCTTTATGATTTGGTCATATGTGCCTATATTAAATTTAATGCTTTATTTTCTTACTCCGGGTATTTTCTTACCGAGAATAATTAAGCTACGGTGTTAAGAGAAGACGTAGGTGTTGTTTGGTTGATGTGGGAATTTAATTCCTATAGGAATTTATAATTCATGGGAAATTAATTCTTTGATGAAATTCCTAAGAATTTATAAAATCTGTTTGGTTGGCAATAAGGGAAATTGAATTTCCATGAATTTTGGTTACCTAGGGTGGCTAGGTAATTCATTTCCCATCTTTCGTGAGAAGTTAAAATTCCCATAAATTTTGTTTTCTCCCTTTTTGCTTTTTTATGTCAACCAAACAACTACTTATTTTATAAATTCTCATGAATTTCCAATTTCATTTTACAATGTCAACCAAATAAGGTCGTAGTTTTACCATATTCAAACACTACAAACATTTTATTTTATGTTGGATTGTGACAAATTAGGATGAAGAGAGAATAGAATAGCTTGTTTATTATTCATCAATAGGTAGAGTATTTATACAAAATCTACGTTCATAAGATAAGAAACAATATTCGTAAAAGATATACTATCGGTCTATCATAATCATAAATCTACGCCTTTTAAAAAGTGCGAAGTTCACGGTATTGTTGAAAATGAACAGGAGAGCAGTGCGCGGACCATTTTACCCTCGGTTTTTTGTGGTATTGCCATTTTGTTCTGATTTTGCCCCTTTTCTCGGTTTCCTTTCTTCCATACTTATTCTCTTTCTCTCTCCTCCATGAGCAGCGAACTTCGAGTTTTGCGTACTCTGAGCTTTCTTTCTCTTCTTGATTTCTCATTTTCCCTCTTCCTTCCCTTTCATTTCTCAGACAACCACCAGGTATGCAATTGAATCAGCTTCTCAGGTACATTGTTTTTTTTTTTTTTTTTTCTTGTAAATCATCACCGACTATCGATTTTACAATCTAGGGTTTGCCTCTTGGCTTTTGTTTTATTTTCATTATTTTTGATTTTAGGTAATTGATTTGTAAAAAAGGATTTGTAATTGATTTGTAATCATCATCGACTATCGTTTTCTAGGTTTTATGGAGGTGACGGTGGTCGTGGTATCCATTACGGCGCTTCGATTTCTAGGATTTCAGATTATAGCTAAGAAGAGATTTAAGACTACCGCTCCTCTCCTCACTGCCACATGCACGGTATTCTTTCCCTCTTCTCTTTAGAAAATCGGAAAAGTGTTTTTGGGGATTTTGGGTTTGATTTTTGCAATGTAGTTGTAAAATTTTGATTTTTGTTATCTGGGTTTTGCCTAATTTTGTTGGGTTTTTCACATTTTTGGCGATTTTGTTTTGTTCATCACAATGTCGCTCAGGAATTTTTTTTATGTTTTTTTTATTTTGCTGTTGAAAGAATTTTAAGGGGTTTTTTTCTATTCATTTTGTGTATTATTCAGAATTTCTGCTATTTTTATGTATTTACTTTACGGTACCCAAAAAAAATTGTTTCTAATTTACGCTATTTTGTTTGCATTTTGACGGGAGTTGAAGGCTAAAGGAGAAGCAGGAATCAAAATCAAAATCAAACGAAATTTATATTTTGGTAATTTCCTTTGACCAATAATTGCTTATCTGCCTTTGCATGTTAATAATTTGAGATGTATATATTAATATTTTTCAGATCTTTTAGTAAATGTGTTAGATTACCTTTATGCTGTGGTTTTGTGATGATTTGTAGTGTAATCTGTGGTAATTTTGTTGTGTAATCCTATTATGTGCTGTGAAATTATTTACGATCCTGCCATTGAATCTTGATTTCCTTTGATTTCTACCTCATCTTTGTATTTCCCATTTCTCTTTCATTTGCGTTTTCTGTCTCTTCCTATTCTATTTCTCCTTCCTCCTCTGCTATTTTCTTGCTATTTGAAGATTTTTCGCTCTAGGATTTGCGGTTTCACAATGGCAATAATTCGATGAGGTTTATGGCGCTGTTTGCAAGTACTGAATAAGTGTGAATTTATGCTAATGGAAATTCTGAATAAACGGAAATTCTGATTTCTTTGGGGATTTTCTTCCAGGGGTATAGAGGATGCGATTTCAGTTTTACCGAGAGCAAATTGCCAAAGCTATGCTGAAGAGGAGAGAGAAAGAGTAGAAGAACGGTGAAGAAGAAGATGGTGAATCCTTCAATGGCGGAAAAGGAGGAGCTTCTTTGATTATTGATTTGAATGATAAATCGACGGTCACTGGTGGTGGTGTGGAAGATGTTCAAGTCAAAGGTAAGCCTTTAGTTTATTTGCATGTTTTGATTTTCTTAATTAGATTGGGTTTCTTGGGTTTAATTTGACGATTTTTAATTTTTGGGATTTTCTTCAAGGGGTATAGAGGATGCGTTTTCAGTCTATTGGGTGAAAAACTGAGAGCAAATTGCCAAAGCTATGCTGAAGAGGAGAGAGAAAGAGTTGAAGAACGGTGAAGAAGAAGATGGTGAATCCTTCAATGGCGGAAAAGGAGGAGCTTCTTTGATTATTGATTTGAATGATAAATCGACGGTCACTGGTGGTGGCGTGGAAGATGTTCAAGTCAAAGGTAAGCCTTTTAGTTTATTTGCATGTTCTGATTTTCTTAATTAAATAAATAAATTTGTGGAACATTTGTAATTCTTAGAACGCAATATGTTTGTAGCTTAGATGAGCTTCAAAGGAATATTAGCTGCTTGAAAATTTTGTTGACTATTTTTAGCTCATATGTGATCGACCTTTGTTGCTTGATGTGCATATTAATTTAAATTATGTTTGAAAAACTCATCTGTGCCTTAATATGTGATAATTCAGTTTTTACACCTACTATAATTTCCAGAATTTTGCATGTGGGAGAAGTTCTGGGAATTCCACTTCTGATTAGGAGTTAATAAACAAAATCAAGAAAACCGGATTATTAGGAATTTTGCATGAACATATGATTGAGTATATTAGAATGGTTTGCAATTTTGATGTGGATTTTTGGTGATAAATGTGAGAATGTAGAATTTGTTTGTGTATTCAGCATTTATTGATAACAATGGTGGAATAAGATTTTTGTAATTGGGCTAAAAGAATGACTCTCAATTTTAGTTGTAAGTTGTAACTCTATTTTGATAAATGTTGGCTGTTATTTGGGTAAATTTTATCAACAACTTCCCACTTATGGCGTGATTTAATCTCCTTAATTTGCGAATTCGATGTGTTGGTTGGTTCATGGAGGGGTGATTTTTAAGAAATGGCTTTGTAATAAGATAGAGAGTAGACAATATAAAGGAAAAGAATAATTTAGGCTCATGCGAGTGAAAGTTATATGTGATTCAGAGTTAAGTTAGCTAATTAGTTCTGTTATGGATTCTGAAGTGATGGGAATCTGGTTGTGGGCAAAAATTATGGACGGGTTTTTGTTACCAAGTTTTCTCTTGGTGATGTGCTTATGGTGGAATGAAATTGATGTAGTATTTTTTTCTAAGGCTAATTCGAGTTGTGTTTTCATGAATAAAGAAAATAATAATTTGGTACTTGCGGTAGTGTTTTGATTGATAGAGCTATTTACAAGATGAGGGTTGAGCTTGATCTTGATTTACTTAAGTTTGCATTGGCTTATACAAGACTCAGATGTAAAGATTTTGTGTTGGATTATCTATTAGTTTAGGTTGCTTGCTTGAAGGTTCAACTGATTAAAAAAAAAAAGATCTATTCTTCTTCTTGTGAGATTATGATACTTTGTGTGCAGCATAGTGGTAGATATTATGATTTAGCGATTAACAGTCATGACTACGTGAGACAAACGATTAATGTTAGTATACTTTATAGCTGAAAGCTTGCTTATGAACTTATAGTAGAAGTGTTTATGGACGACATGCCTGCATTATACTTGATTGAGTTCTGTTTTTTTTACCATTTTACCTGCTATCTGTTTTATGAATTTTTATACATTTCTGTTTTACTTATGTAAAAATATGTGTAGGCCATGTATCATTTATAAAGGATGTTGCTTGCACTCAACCCCCTGAGCATCTTCATGAGCTGCTAAATGTGCTACAAACTACATACTCAACCATCATCTTTGAGGGATCAGGATTTCTATGGTATGGCGTGTGGTAAATTAGGAAAGTATTGTTTTTAACATCATAAGTGAAATAAAATAATCAGTACTTTACTCATTGATGTTATGCAGTAAACTAATTTAAGGGGAACTGGGGGAGGGGCTCTTTTGGCATTATCTTTATATGTTAGTTATGAGTAGCTTGGGATATGGGAAATAAATCAGAGATAATTAGGGAAGAAATTCTATGTATAGAGAAGATTATGGAGAGGGAAAGGATGTTACTTGATGATAATTTTTTTTAGCATTTATGTTGCTTATTGGGAGAGAATGAAGCCTCTTGATAGCTTGAATATCCTTCATTTTGCTGCAATTCCAGTTTATTAATCAAATTGCCTTTTTTATTTAACTTATTTTTTGCCATTATTGATGTTGAAACTATTTAATTCATACCATGTTGTACATGAGTAGCTATTTTTATGAATCTCTGTTTAGTAAACTGCCTTGTGGCTCTGAGTTATATTTTTAACGGTCTTGCCATTGTATTTTGATTTTCATTGCTTTCCAGCTTCTTTGTCCTTTTTCCCCTTTTCTTTTTCCCTAAAATCAGATGCTATTACTCAGTCTACCCTTCTTCTTTTCTCTCTCTTCGTACAGCTGGGCGTATCTGCTGTGAAGGTACTAATTCTGAATTCACAATTGATAAACTCTATCAAATCAAATTTAGGTTTTCTTGGTTGAGCTAATTTAGATTAAAAAGTGTAATATAAAAACAGCGATTAAAGTGTGAGATTATATACTTGAATCGACAAATATAAGAGCATGCAGTTGATGTTGAAGGTCTAACAATGGAGGATGAGGTTCAATAATGGCGATAATAAGATACTTTTAATTTTTTTTCTTCTTAAATTTCATTTCCTTTTTGCATTAATTTGATATTTTTTTTTCCCGGGTTTTGTAGGAAGAGAATGTTTGCTCGGAGTAGTAGCAACAATAGTTTGTCGCTCAAAGACCCTGATGTAATTTAAATTCCGCGTCCTTCTACTTGGAAATCGAAGCCAAGGAAGCAAAATTCGGTGAAATTCTTGAACTTTTTGGTTGTAAAATCTTGTTAATTGAAATTGAATTATGTGGGTTGTTCAATTTTTATCTGAATTTTCTGGGTTTGTGTTGGGTGACTGGGATTGTGATTTTATCAATGTAGAAATTGATACTGTGGTTCGAAGAGGTTTTATTGTAATCATATATTTAGTTAAAAGAATTCCATTTATTTTAAGGCCTTAAGTATTAAAGAAACTTAAATAACAGTAATCAACACGTGATTTTGTCATGAATACCGTAATTTTTACAAGTATCATATTAGGAAATGCATTTATGCTTATATTTTGGTCCTTAAATTCTGCAGCATTACAATGCTCTCTTTTTCTATCTTCTTAACGTTTTTGTTAAAGCTGTTAAAATGTTTTTCTTAATTTTACCTAACATCTGGATTTTATAAAATGATCTTTCAGGCCACATGCATGTAAGATAGAAAATTTTGGCACTTCTGGATTCATGGTAAGAAGCATTTGGTGGTCCCGGTGGAAATTATGGTCTTGTGATGAACTGATGGTAAGCTCATTCAGCTTATGTTTTTGAGTGCTTGGGCACCCGTAGATATTATTAACTCCCATTTAGGTAGTTGTGGGACTCCCATGTCAGAACTGTGTCGTAGTCCTAAATGAGTACTACATGGAAAGCGTGTTGAATGTGAGCTTTCTGATATCTGTGATTATATTCTGAAGTTTCTTAATTCTCATCTTACTCCTACTGTTTCTGTTAGTGAATCAAGAGTCTTCTACTTGAAGATGAAGGGAGACTATATCATTGTTATATGGCTGTCTTTAAATCTGGTGATGAAGGAAACTGTTGTAGAAGATACTATGAATGCTTACAAAGTAGCTCAGGTTTGTGTGTTTCTTTTTTTTTTTTCTTTTTTTTTTTTGGTTTTTGTTTTGTTTTTTGCTGTTATTTTAGGATTTAGATGTTCGATTTTGCGCAGATCTGTTTGAATTGGTTTTGACCTAAAAGATTTATTCGATTTTTATATGTTACTTTGAATTTTTTCTCTGATTTTTCTGCTCTATATACTGAGTTATGGAAGAATAATGACTGAGATTCAAGCTAACAATTGCTAAATGAGTGCTTAATGCTGTTTGTTTAGTTACTGGAACATTTTGGTGGAATGACTGAGATTTGATACTTGAATATGCATATATTGGATGTATTTTGAATAACTAAGAAAATTCCTGCAGTTTTATAGGAGTATTTGGATGTATACTAAATTTCTTGCAATTTAATAGGGGTTTTGTTGTATTTTGGATATTTGAGTATATTTCTGCAGTTTAAATAGGAATATTTGGATTTTATTTTGGATGTTTGAGAACATTCTTGCAGTTTAATAGAAATATTGATCTGTTGTGGATACGATATGTGTCAGCTAAATATTGTAGTTGAATTGAATAAGGATGAGAATGTTGGTGAGAAGAATATTTTGATTTATTGGTTTTGAATGCTAGATTGAAGTGAGGTATTTGAACTGGATTGTAGTTTAATTTAAAGACTTGTTTCAGTACTAATTACCAACATACTTGTAGTATACTAGCGCATGTTTGTTTCATCTTGGGAGTGGAGTGCAAGGGTAGAGTGAGGCAGTATTGAGTATTGGATTTGATTATTGCTTTTCTGGAATTGTTGGCTTAATTTGATTAGAGTCTATCTTGAAGGCTTCTTTCAGTACCATATTTCTGCAAGTTTAGCTGAATTGGCGTCTTAGGAGTGGGATGATTAGTAGAAAGAAGTTTTGTTCACCTACTTTTGCTCTTTTTTTTTTTTTTGTTAAATTAGATATTCTTTATTTGGTCAGGAGGCAGAAAGTTCTAGCATTAAAGATGAAGGTATTTTATTCCTGCAGAACTCAGGAGGCAGAAAGTTCTATTATCATGTCATTAATTGTAATATCATTATAGCATAGCTAATTTGGTCTGTGATTACTTTGCAGGCAATGCAACAAGAAAGGCTAGAAAAATTCTTAGTGACCTTCAAAGACTGTCTTCAACCATATGTAGATGGTCGCATTGATGAGTTTGTGGATTGGGCTAAATTAGAAGCATCTAATCTCTCAAAAGCAGGTATAACTAATCATACTTTCTACTATAATTATGTTATTCATTGTAGTTGGTGACCGTGGAATGTTTTTGAGTTCTGACTACGACATCAGTTTATACAATGAAGAGATAAAGAGTCAAAGACGTAGGAGAAATTTCAGATGTTTCTTTGTGTCATAAAAGATTTACACAACCAATTGTTAACTTTTATACAAGTATGGAAAAAATTACGGAGTATATATAAGGGTTTTTAGTCATGTGCTTGAGTTTCATCTGAATTGTGTTGCTTTGAATATTAACAAGGCTGGGTCTAATGAATATTGCAATAATGGAAGATATGGCCCTTAACACATAGTAGATGTGTTGTAGGATTTAGGTAGTTGACAAGGCTGGGTCTAAAGAGAGACCACTTAAGTAAGTTAAGGAAATTAGCATAGGAAAACAAAATAAGCATACAAAAAATGCGAGAGAAAGAGAGAGACCACAGAAGAAAGACTGAGAAAATCATGGCAATTAGCTTAAGAGAGAAAAAGAGAGACCACTTAAGAAATATCGGGCCAATTGGCTTTAAAAAGAGATCAATTAAGAAATATCACATAAAAAATGTAAAATTCAAGGCAATTACCTTAGAAGAAAGACAGAGAGACCACTTAAGAAAATCAAGGCAATTAGTTTAGAAAAACACTATTACCTTAGGAAGAGACTTATTTAAATGAGAGAGAGAGAGATTACAAAAAAATAGCTTAGAAAAAGGCTTTCTAAAATGCTGGACCACTTTAGCGAATTTCTTATTAAAGATCACTTAAGAGAAAGAGAGATCATGTACGAAAGATCACTAGAGAGAGAGAGGGGGAAAGAGAGATAGAGAGGGAGAGAGAGAGAGAGAGAGAGAGAGAGAGAGAAAGACCGCTTAACAAAAATCATTTGAGAGAGACCACTTAAAAATCATTGCTTAACAAAATGAGATGTCCCACTTTAAAAAGAGCTTAGGAAAAAGAGTTACTAAATGCTAAAGAGAGAAATAGAGAGATCACTTAATAAAGAATACTCAAGAAGAAAGAAAGATCACTCAAGAAAGACCACTAAAGAAGAAAGACCACTCAAGATGAAAAAAAGATAATAAAAAAGATAGATCACTCAAGAAAGATCAATTATGAAGAAAGATCACTAAAGAATGAAGAAAGGTCACTTAACAAAAGAAAGATCACTTACGAAATAGAGAAACCACTTAAGAAAGATCACTTATGAAAATCAAGGCAATTAGGCTAGGAAAGAAAATCGAGGTAATTTTCGTAGGATAAGGATATAGTGAGAGAGAAAGAGATTGATGTTGAAGGTCTAACAATGAAGGATTTGAGGTTTAACAATGGTGATAATTAGATGTTTTGGCGCTGCTTGCAATTTTGCATGCTTGAGAGTTGAGACGAAATGAGGAATCATAAGATAGTTGCAATTGAGCTGATTTTGGGGGTTCGTTTGCTTCTGATTAACTTGGTTTGGTTTGGTTCCTATGTAGAGGTATTCGTTTGAGAGGTAGTACTTTGTATTAGATGACATTATATTGCCTATTGTACGATCTTGCTTTATACATAAGTATTCTGGACTACATATTTCGGATTCCCTGACAAATTGAGCCTTAAATTATTATTATTATTATTATTATTATTATTATATATATATATATATATATATTGTAATACAATTACCACTAATGAATATATTATTCTATATTATAATACAAGTATTGTTACATTGCCTTTATAGATGTGTTTTTGGTGATTGAATGTTCATGATAATGGTTTGGGTTGTGTTTTTATGTGTGATTGTGCTTTTATGAGTTTAGATTGAGTGATTACAATTGTGTTGCACAGTGTAGAAATTAAATTTCTGATAACATTTAGTAGTTTAATTTGACTTGGCGAATTGCCTTTATAAAATTTCAAATTGTTGTAATAATGGGAAAACCAACAACTAAATAGATGGATTTATATGTTCTTATTCAGTTCTTTTTTGGGGTTACAGGTTCAGTGATAGCATTGTTTGTGGTGTTGCTGTTAGAGCTTTGTCTGTTGTGTTGAGCTTAGAAGACCTGTTAAGGTAATTTCTATGACTTCTTCTATATACTGGGTGCTGTGTAGTAATTACCATGCTTTTACGGTGCTGATTTCCTGCTAATTAGAGTTTATGATGCCTTGTTATATGCAAGTATCTTGATTTTTAGCTTAAGAAATAAAGAGACTACTTAAGAAAGATTAGTTTAAAAGATCTAGACAATTAGCGTAGGGCAGACATACCCTTTTAAGTGGTCCGTTCCAACCAATCCAAACAATTAGTAAACTTAGGTGCTTGAAATATTTCCTCCTCCAATCCACACCTTCTGGTGCTTTCTTTAACACTACATCTGACTAACCTTATTATAATTGTCCAACACCTGACTAAAAAGGAAAATTATAATTATAAACATTGTAAGATAATAATAATTATAATTGGTGCATTCTTAAGAAAAGGATCGGGGTATTTAGTGTGCATTTAAGAAAATTAGGGCAATTAATTTAGGAAAATACAATTAGCTTAAAAAAAAGGTTTACTATAATGTCACAGAGAGAGACCACTTAAGATCGAATTGGGCATAAAATGGCTTCAAGGATTCAAGGATGCTGCTAGATCATGTGCAATACTGTTCTGGTATTAATATATTATATATGAATATGTGTTGTAGTTTTGTATTTTAAACACATTATTCAATATGCCGATGCTACTGGCCTTTCGATGCCATTTTATTGAAATTTTGAGGTATAAGGAACTAGATGGGCATTACTTATACTCCGTATCAATTACGAAATATCAAATAACCCCTGACAAACTGTGATTATAATTTGAAGAGTGGTTGACTATCTAAGGGTGTTCGTGGAGCTTAATGGATTTATGTGTTTTACATTTGGAATCCCACTTACTTGGCTAGGCTGAGTTAAGCTAATTAGAGGTCTTTCTTCTCAGTATATCAAAATTAATCTTCACATTTAGTCGATTGTGTGCTTGATGGATTTATGTGTTATTATTATTATAAGATTTGATTTATTTATTTATTATTACAGGTCAGACCAGTGGCCTGGCTTTCTTTGGTGCTATATCCTGTTGGAAGAGTTGTTACTTTCTTATCGATGGGCATACTGAAAATGCTGGGATTAAAAGGAAGAAGGTTTGTTGCAATATTGTACTTTTTTTATAAGATTTCTTCATATGCTGTTTCAGTTTTGTTTGCTACCATTTTAGCAAGGACTTATAGATTTATAGCGACGATTGTATCCCAACTCTCAGTATCAATTACTCTTAAATCAAGTACTGTTAAGATTTAAGTTGCATTCAGTTTTTTCATAATAGTAGTACAGAATAATGTAAACGACATTTTATCAGTTTATTTTGAGGTAAATAATGGTCAGAGTCTAAGTAAAGGGGTGATGCATGTTTTGGATGGGAGAGACAGAGTATGAAATGTAAGACCCTTAATTATGAATACGTTGGGAAGGGAGCGAGCGGTTTTGAAATGAAATTTGATGCATGACTTTGTCTGTTATTCATATGTGATGGTAGTGTGTAGATCAATAGGGTAATTGGTGCTAGATTTTAGATAGTATGGGTAAGAAAACGAAGAATAAATCAGATTTGGTAAAATTAATGGAAGTTCTTGCAAATAGATTCATTTTGTAGAGTGAAATAAATTAGTGTTGAATTGTTGAGTTATGGGGTTTGATTCCAATTATCAAATGTTGATTTCACAATTTAGGGTTCTTCGTTAATTTATTAGTCCGTTTAGTTAATTGTGGAGCACACGAAATAGTTAGCTTGGTTATTATTGTGGTGCACACAAAATAGTTTATCATTGTATCATAGGGCTTCACAGCACCACAATCATATGTTAACTAATTCGTCAGTTTAGTTAATATATCTGTCAGCTTAGTCATTAATCTGTTTTCCCTATTGTACTTTTGTTTATGCTGGAGAAAGTCCAATAAGCACGTAAATATGATGGTGAGAGTACTGTATTATTTGTCTTTAGGCACTTTCTGAAAATTATTGAATCTTTGTTGAAGGGTGTGTTTCTTGGAAATTTGATATAATAGTAGAAGTATTACTAATTTAGTTGAAGTCTGGTGTAGTTCTGTGATTGGTCTACTAGATCTTCTATTTTTTTCTGTTAAATAAGCAGATGGGTTTTACATACCTTGAGCGGGCTCTATTGCATGTTTTGATATTTTAATGATTTTCAGAAAACATACACACAAAGTAACTTGGTTTGTGTACAAAGTGCAGCTCGAAAAAAAACTCCGTTTCACAGCATCACCATCTCAGGAAAATGAAGATCATGAATCCGCCAACAAGGACCCAACTAATTTAGCAACATCTGCTTCTGATAAATCAGCTACACCAGAAAATGATGTTAACACATCTGTACATGTGAATGATCATATGACACAGGCCTCACTTGACTCTCTTACTCAAGGTAATTAGCAGAAAAAAAGAACAGCAATGTACATACGTAAGAGAAGTAGGTATATTAAATAACTTCAAAGTTGTGGTACTGTCACCCCCTCTATTATAAATTTTGGGCTTGCATGATAATTACATCAATGACATGTTTTGATGTATATTCCTTTAAAAAACTCTGTTTTTTGTGTATTGCTCCTAGGGCTGAGCAGAACTATCTGATAATCCGAAAATCCAAAATTCTGATCCGTATCCGATCCGAAAATTTAGGATATCCGATCCGAAATTATCGGATATCGGATCGGATATCGGATATCGAAAATTCTGTTTTCGGATATCCAAATATCCGAAAAAAGATCGGATATCGGATCGGGTACCGATCCGAAATCCGGTAATACACTTTTTTTTTTACCTTTTCCAAATATTTTCAATTTTTCATATTTTTGGTCTTTTGGAATATCAGATGCCCTAAATCCCTAATACCCTAAAGACAAAATCCGCCTCTTTTCACACTCTTTCATCTCCCTCATCTCTGCTCACTCATAGTACTCTCATCTCAGATCTCTCCGTCGCTTCTCAGATTTCTCCTCGCTTCTCAGATCCCTTTTCTCTCCGTCGTCCGTCACTCCTCCACCAGCCGCGACTCCCCTCACCCCTCCACCTGCGTGAATTTGCGAATTGCGAAGACAATCGTTCAATCGGCTAAAGGTGTTTCTTTTTAACCTTAAAGGTATGTGATTTTTCGAATTAGGGTTCTTGTAATTATCCCTTTTAATTACTCATAAAACCTAGAATTCGAATAGAATGTTGTTGTTTGATTAATTTCAATTCAAAATGGATGATTAAAAACCAAGAAAACTAGGTTCATGAATTAACTTTGTAATAATTTCAAACCAATTAATTTCTGATTGTTACATAACTTGCGATTGTTAAATGATGTTCAAACTAATAATTTCAAATTAATTATGAAACGAAAGTGGTGAATTGGTGATTGTTGTTTGTTACATATTCAACTATTGTGTTTGTTTAGTTCGGATTTTTTGGGACAATTCGAAATTCTCTAGTCATCTAGTGAATATATTTTGATTAAATTTATACACTAATATAAGAAGACATTGTTAAGTGTGGTACTGTGGTGTCATTATTAGATCCATGCATTCTATATTTCTATATATTTCTCAGTGTACTTATTGCAACCAGCCAACCAATGCAAAAGAAATACGAAGTGTAGAACATAAATAATAAGTTCAATGAAAAAAAGTTAAAATAAAAAGCAATACAATTTATTTATCTAAGGGCTAAGGTCTAACCATTTTAATTATTCTCCTTCCTTCCTAAGATAATTTGGCTTATTGTAACTATTGGAATTTTGGATATGTTGTTCAAAGAATATTGTATTGTACTGGACAATTCTTCTACGCTTATACTCATTCTGAAGCATTAAAAATAAAATTAGAAACTTCCTGTTGATTGAATATTTGTATGATGTTGAATTAATCTAGAACAAACTGTAACCAAAACTGAATTGCATGTTTTTAAAATACATCTTGTTCTATTTTATTTTGGTTGTTTGATGCTTTAATAGGATAATATGATCCCATTGCTTATGGATGATGCTACTCTGTTTTAGATGGATGATGCTACTGTAGAATCTGCTAACCTAGCAAATCCATCAAGTGAGGAGCCCTTGGCATCAACTGCTGCTGCTAAGGAGCATGCTGGAATTGAAAATCCGCCACAACCACCCGCTACAAAAAAAAAGGCCTTCAAAGGCGACTAGTGATGGAGCTGAAAAAAAAAGGTAAGAAGAAAAGATCTTGGCTTTGGGATCATTTTGAGTTAATAGTAATAGATGGGGATAAAAGATCAAAATGTGTGTATTGTAAAGTTGATGTTTGTGGTGACTCTAAAATGGGTACAAGTGCTATGAAAAATCATTTAGAAAGGTGTAAGGAATACCCCCCTAATGTTAGACAAATCCCAAAGGCTTCTTGCTTTTCAAAATGAGCAAAGTCAGCAAACATTAGGAGATGGTAGTGTAGGTGATAATGCAAGTGGGGAAAAAAAGGGTAAATTAGAATTTTGGAAGTTTAGGCAGGAGGAGGGTCGGAAAGCTTTTGCTAAAATGATAATAATGGATGAATTGCCTTTTAGGTTTTCTGATCGTGAGGGTTTTCGCTACTTTATGTCTGTTGTTCAGCCTAATTTCATTATCCCCTCTCGTTTTACAGTAGCTAGAGATTGCTATCGTGTGTACTTAGATGAAAAAAAAAATCTGAAAAATTATTTTAGCAAGTTTTGTTCTCGTATTTCTCTCACTACTGACACATGGACCTCTTGCCAAAATCTATCATACATGTGTTTGACAGCCCATTTTATTGATCACAACTGGAACATGCATAAAAAAATTTTAAATTTTTGTCCAATTAGTGGCCATTCAGGTGAGGCTATTGGTAAAGCGGTAGAAAAATGTTTGCTTGAGTGGGGTATCACTAAGGTAATGACCATTACCGTTGACAATGCTAGCTCAAATGATGTAGGGGTCCAGTATTTGAGGAAGAGGTTACTAAGATGGAAAAATGGAACTGTTTTAGAGGGTAAATTTGTGCATATGCGGTGTGCAGCTCACATTCTTAATTTGACAGTAAGAGAAGGTTTGAAAGAATGTGATGAATCAATAAAAAGAATTCGTAATGCTGTACGATTTGTTAGATCTTCCCCTGCCACATTACAAAAGTTTAGAAATTGTGTAAATCAAGAACAAATTGAATCTAAACGTCAGCTTTGCTTGGATGTTGAAACTAGGTGGAATTCCACTTATTTGATGTTGGAGTATGCTTTGATTTTTCGTTAGGCTTTTGATTTGCTTGAAAATTCTGATGGTGGTAAATTTTTTTCTGAGTTAACAAAGATGTCGGGTGTTCCTACTGATATGGATTGGGATCGTGTTGCTTCTTTTATTCCCTTTCTTAAGATTTTTTATGATGCTACTATGAGACTCTCAGGATCTTTGTATGGTACTACTAATGTGTATTTGTTAGAACTTGTGACAATTGGCAAGATGATTAAAAAAAAGTGTGAAAGTGTTGATATTAGGGAAAGGTCAATGGCCAATGGGATGAAGAAAAAGCATGACAAATATTGGGAAAATGTAGATAACATTAACTTGATGTTGTATGTTGCTGTTGTGCTTGACCCTAGGCGTAAAATGCATTATGTTAAGTGGGCGATTAATGATCAATATGATTCTGCAAAGGCCACACAGTTGTATGATATGGTGATGGGAACTTTGACTTCTTTGTATGAACATTATGCTGCTTTACAATCTCAAAATGTGTCTAAGTGTTTCTGATAATATTGATTTGACTTCAAAAGACTTGGAAAACTATAATGATTGGCATGTTGCTGATTATGAGTTTGAGAGGGATATTGGTGGACAAACAGTTTTTGACAAAAAAAGTGATTTGGACAAGTATTTGATGGATGATAGAGAGCCTAATATTATCGGTAAGAGTTTTGATGCTTTGGGATGGTGGAAAAAAGCGGTGGAGAGATATCCAATAGTTGGTCTTATGGCTAGGGATGTGTTAGCCATTCCGGTTTCCACGGTTGCATCCGAATCTGCATTTAGCGTAGGTGGAAGAGTACTTGATCCATTTCGTAGTTCACTTTCTTCACATATGGTTGAGGCTTTAATATGTGCACAAGATTGGATGCGCAATACACGTGGTCCACTTATAATTGAAGAAAGTATCGATGACATTCAACAAATTGAAGAGGGTATTACTTTTTCCGCTTTTTTTTTTTGTGATGAATATTTTTTAGTAGACATGATTTATAAGTACTTATGTTCTGAGGCAAGGTTATATGCAAGGATTTTTATAGACCACACTGCATACTGCTATCGTGTGATCTGCATACTGCTATCATGTGATCTGCATACTGCATACTGCATACAAGTTTGATCTGCATGCTACATGCTGCATACTGCATACAAGTTTGATCTGCATGCTACATACTGCATACTGCATACTGCATACTGCATACAAGTTTGATCTGCATACTGCATACAAGTTTGATCAGCATACTACTATCATGTGATCTGCATACTGTCCCTTTGTTTTGGGTTTAGGGTGTTTGGGGTTGGGTCATCATTATCCTTAATGAGTAAGCCTCTATGGTCTGTTGTCTGTTACCTGACTACCTGGGCAATTAGTTTTGTGAAAGAACGAATGCTAAATGCTTAAATGCTTTCCCTGAGCTTCATGTATTTCGATCATTTAATCTGGTAATTTGTTGGATGTCATGGTTAATAGAGGTTATCACTTGTTTCAATATGTATATTAGCCTTAAAATTTTGGTGACTGGCCTTTTGGGCAATGTTTTGAAAGTCAGTGCTTCAGTGTATGCTTCTTATGTTGTTTATTTATGCCCAAGGAACAATGTGATCATTTTTGCAAGATGCCACCCCCTCAGCTCCTCTCCCCCTATGTGGCTAGCTGTATTTTTGGTACACGTTTCCAATTTACTAATTCGGTTCCCGTCGTTGATGATTATTTTTAGCATTAGAAGGTAATACTTTTTTTAGTTTGAATATTTAGAAGTTATAGCTTAATTTCTGTTTTTTTTTTTTTTTTTTTTTTTTTTTTTTTTTTTTTTTTCCTCTTATGATTAACTAATATATTGTAATTTTATATTTTGTAGGGTTGTTGACTTGCCGTACACTCGTACTTTGTTGATATTGGTTTTCGGCGTTGATGACTTATTTAGTGTTTGATAAAATGTTTCCGCACTGTTAACATTTGGACACTAATGTTTTTGGACTTCAAATTTTATTATGTAATTTGTACTTTGTTGCAATTAGCCAACTAGTTGTTATCATGTAATTTTATTATGTAATTTTATTATGTATAATTTTATTATGTAATATCTGAAAATTAGTTGTTGGAGAATAATTTTAGGTCTATTTATCTCTCTTTGTTCAGGTTATGAATTAATTGTCCACATAGTAAAAAAGGGTCCATAAGACAATAACGTGTGAAAATAAAGGGTGAAAAAATCAATTTTTCCGTTAATAAAAACCTGCAATTAAAGAAATCGGATATAGGATATCTGACATATCCGATCCGAAAATTTCGGATATCCGGATTTTCGGATATCCGAAATTTTCGGATCGGATACGGATATCAAATCTCCGGATTTTCGGATACGGATATCCGATCCGAAATCTAGTTTCGGATACGGATATCCGATCCGAAATCTAGTTTCGGATCGGATATTCGATCCGTGCTCAACCCTAATTGCTCCAACATTGCGTTTAAATACCTTTAGATGAAGGTAGAGTATTTAATGTAAATAGGATTGCAATGCTGTTGAGTGAAAACTTTTGAAGACTTTTGTAAGAACATGTACAATAGTTAATGTTCTTAGAAAACACTATAAAAAGGTCGAATGTTCAAAAAAAAAAAGCACTGATGTAAAGTTTATTTATAGATTACCATGTATAAAATATTTAAATTATGGTAAATTAGAATTGTTCCGTTTTTTACTGACTTAATTACAATTTTCCCTTTTACAAAAAAAAAAAAAAAAAAAAAAAAACTACAAATTTGTTTATGATTATATTTGTACCATAAAACAGAATATAAGAGAAGTAAATTGGATACTCGTCTACATCCAAATGTTTACAAAGTGAGTGTTTCGGGGTATACACTTTTCAATCAAATTAGAGAAGACAACTTCAAAATCTTCTGCTGTTATTTTTTCCTTCAGCTTCATCGGTAGTTTACAATGGTCTATTATTAATTATTCAACTCTATTATGAGACCTTTAAATCTATGAATACCCCTAAACCCCAGAAGAAGAGTTTCAAGATCAACTAATGTAAAGTACACAGTTGTGTACAAGAATATTATAATATAATATAATTAATTTATAAATAATTACTTCTTAAATTAACTATATGATCTCCTCCATACTTTAGAGATACCATTTTACCTCTCCCATTAACTATTCCAACTTTATAAAAAAACGTTGCAAATTCGACAACTAATAGCTTAGTAACAAACAAGTACAGTCACCCAAACTACCTAAGAGGCAATTTAAAAGAATATGTAGAAAAAAAAAAAAAAAAAACATAGGAATACTTTATTATATTGGAAAAACAAATTTAAAACATAAGTAGACTAAATTTAGTACATAAAAAAAAAAAAACCTCTTAGATTGCCTTTAATACATTAAATTCTAACGACATAAACACACTAACAAGCTTGATTAACATGTAACAAAATCACCATATACATTACTTACTAATAAAAAACAAACGCCATTGAGGCACCGCGCGCGAAGGTAGAGGTTTGATAACTTTACGTTGATGTTATTTATTTGAATAATAATTCAAATTACTTCTTTCTAATAACATAATTTAAGTTACATCTTTCTCATATAATAACTTTGAATGCAACATTCCCCACTTAGATTACCTTTAACACTTAAAATTTTAACGACATGCACACACTACGCAAACATAATTACGGTGTAACAGAAACACCGAGTACAGTATTCACCAATAATAATCGCCGCCATTGGGGTACCGCGCGCGAAGTGCGCGAGACCACAACTAGTAATCCTAAAGATATATACTCTAAATAATATCTTAGCATTAATAAACCTAAATATATTATTCTCTTAATGATATCTACGGAAAATATATCTCACATATATTTTCCGATATCTTATATCTCTAACACCTTCCCGCACTCGTAACGACAGTAACACAAACGTTGCGATTGGAGATTCTTCACTTTTTTGAAGTCGATCGAGTTACACTACTCTGTTGATGTCGCCTTCAATTTTTTCTTGAATGATGAGAACGTTTTGCTTCTCGAACCCATCAATCATCAACCAAAGCAGGAACGTCATTCTTTTCGAACCTGCAAAAATAACATTACAACGAGAAGATCATTTCTTTTCGAACTCGTTGTATTTTGGTTTTTCCAGCAAACCACACTCAAATCTCTTATTGGATTTTCAGAGTAACCACACTCAAATCTCTTATTGGTCTTTCAGAGTAAACCACACTCAAATCTCTTATTGATTTTGTTTTAAGCAAAACCAAAATCATATCCAAAGAGCAAAATCATGCTCGAATCATATCACAAACCCTGTCTCATGGCACAAGGAGAACCAACATATGAACCTTGTCTCACGGCACAAGAAGAGCCAATATATCTTGTCTCACGACACAAGAGAGCCAATTTTTTTTTTCTCGAATAAAAAATTATGCCAAACGTGGCTTTTCTTCATCTCCATGGAGATGTAGTACGGGAGAAGTTCACTCACATACTCCAAAAAAAATCACATGCCATCATATTTGATGGATTAATCACATATACCAACAAAAAAACAAAAACAGTTGCACAACGGAATTTTTGGGTAAAATTTATGAATCCCGTCGGTGAGTTTAATTTTCTAACCCACCGGCAGAGGGAAAATTTTTATGAAGGGCCCCAAGATTTAACCTGCTCTTGATACCATGACAAATTAGAGTGAAGAGAGAATAGAATAGCTTGTTTATTATTCATCCATAGGTAGAGTATTTATACAAAATCTACGCTAATAAAATAAGAAACAATATTCCTAAAAGATATACTATCATAATCATAAATAATCCTAAAAATATATACTCTAAATGATATCTTAGCATAAATAAACCTAAATATATTATTGTCTTAGTGATATGTACGGAAAATATATCCCACGTATCTTATATCTCTAACAGATTGTTGGGGGTGGTTTTACAGTTTTGAATACATGAACACAAAAGCATAACCTCCCGGGGTCGGGAGTACTATACACGCCAATACGACTCGCTGAAAATCTTCCCTGAAACTTCCCATTTAATAGGCCGCCCCTTTTCCTCCATTTCTCTCTCCTTTTTTTCCTCCTTCGTCTCCCGCCACTTTCTTCTTCATTTTTCCAGAAATGTTGGAATTCTTCGCTTGAACATCTTGCAATTTCTTGTTGCTCAAGCTTGTTTAGTTCTTCGAAATTCATAAATTTTACCAAATTTCATCTGATTCTTCAATGGCAGCTGCTAAGCGCGCGATTCAATTCGGTGTAAATTCGAGTAGGTTCTTCGCTAATTCGAGAGGTTTTGCTGCTGTGGATCCGCAGATTACCCGATTCAATCATAATTTTCGGCAATTCTGTCAGCTTCAAGCTCCCAACAATAATCGGCGTGGATTGCTTGTCGATACTTTAGCTCTGGTACTTGATTTCTCTCTACATTTCATCCGATTTCGTGATGATTTCTTTGATTTTGTTAGCATTTTGTGCATATTTTATCTGCATTCACTTGTTAATTTAAATATTTGCATTGAAATTATAGTATTGTAGTATCATACTCAATTATTTAGCTTCATTTTGTAGTTTCAGATTTAATTTTTCTAATACTCTGAATTGTAGTTCTTTTTATGGCTGATTTTGTTTGATTTGTAGTAAATATAAGTACATTGCAATATTATGCTGTTTTTCCCTGTTTGCGATTTAATAGCTAGAACTTGTACTTTTTTAATTTGGCTGATTTGCGGAACTTGACAAATCTATGGAGATTTTAGGTTTTAATATGCAAATTATTGTTGATGAATATAGGTGAGGAATTTGGAGGCACAAGGTGTTCCGGAGAATCAGGCTGAGGCAATTACAAATTCAATTGCTCAAGCTGTGGATGTCAGCATGGAAAAGGTATAATTACTGTTTGTTTTTTTTTTCAGTATCTTCGGGCTTGTTATATACGAGTAGCCGGAGTAGTCGAGTATAATTAAAGTTTCCATATGCTTCCTATCGAACTTATCGATCTTTTGTTGTATGAATGTGGTGTAGATGGAAATGCTTCAGGATTCAAACATTTCCAGATTCAAAGGTGAAGTAAAAACCTCTCAGGTATAGAAACAAGCTATTACTACTCTATACTTGTTTGCCTTGCAAAATATATTGAAGATTAAGCATGAAATGCTATATAAAGTGATACTTTAAGAAGCTCTATGTTCATTTACCATTTATATGAAGTTCTTTGTAATGAAGAAATATGAAATGTTATATAAAGTGATACATTGTATTTACTGCATGAAATATGGATTGATTTCTATTTGGTTGGACGACTTGATTCACTTGAATATGTGTCAAATTGATCCAAATATATGTTAGTGTAGCAATTCCAGAACTACTGTCTGAAAGATTCTCATGTTTGAGCAATTGAATGTACTCTCCTGGAGAGCAATTTGATTTTGTTAAAAGTATACTCCGTAGGTGTGTCTTGTTCCACCTGAATTGTTCTATCTGAAATCTTTTTATCAACTAGTTATTGCCTTTTTTCCTGTCTCCTTTGGCACTTTTTTGTATAAAAACATTTTTTCTGTGAGATCGTCAATTAGGGTAGGATTTTTAAATTTTATTTGTTCAAGCAGATAATTCACTTAATGTACAAAGGGTCTTTTGAATATGGACTTTTAGCTGTACTACAAGTTTTTTTGACTTGGAATATGGAGAATATACTCCGTCGTTTTTAGATACAGTCCAACGAACTTTGCAATGTCATATATTGAAAGGATGCACATTGATGGACCCGCATCTTGCACTTGCTTCTTCGGATTCATCACTTATATTGGGTGTTACCTTACCATTGGTGAGAACTCACAGATGAATTTGCCCTTTCTGTCTGAAAAGTTGGAATGCCTGGATAAGGCTTATAGTTTCACATCACAGGAGCTGCAAGCCTTATTATTATTTTTTTCATTCCAACTCCTCTATTGTCATTCTTTCTTATTCTGTCCAGCTAAACCTCACCTCCTCCTTGTAATTCTACTTCTCAATAACTTGAATAAAGCATATGGACCAGACTACAATATGACTCCCACCCTATATAGTACCTGGATCTTTTCATGGTTATTTTAAAAAGCAAAATAAAACTGGTAGAGATCCTCAAAAAGAGCAACAGTCACTTGTCTAACACCTTTTTACCTCCCTGAATACTCTGTATGTAACTGAGGAAAAGTAAGTTTTTTCATTGACAAAAAAGCTAAGCTGATTCATTAAAATAGTGTCATGTGAGCTAGAAAAAAGGGACAGTGCAGGGAAAAGATGTTCCTCGCATGGAGATTGTGGACCTTCGTATGGCAGGTGATACATGTGCTGTATCGATATGTTCATTAGAAATATCCCTTAACCACGGTTGTTTAAAATTCTAGATTAGAAGTAGCTTTTTATTCTTATTCATTGTAAAGATCATATTGTTGCGTTTCAGAGAAAACAGTTTCTTTGTTATCTATTGTCAATAGGATTTTTGCACTTTAAACACCCCTTTCTGCCTAAGAAGCCCCTTTACATGTAGTTATCAAGGTTGATATTGATATTATTTTGGAAAATTTGGGAGTGTAAGGCAAGATGGTGAATTTGAGCTGAATTATTAACTAGCAGTCTCACCATCAGGTTGAAACTTTAACTTGTTTTTTGTTTGATTTTAGTTATCTCAAGGCTTATAGAGTAATAAAGTGAGACTATCAATTTAGTACAAAGTTTGTATTATTAGTCACACCCTCAAGCTTATAACATTCATCCCAACTTCCAAACAGTACCAATTGAAAACTCTCCTCCTCACATCTCAGTTTTATTGCACTTCTTTGCCTACTTAGCTGGGTGAAGCTGTTTCTTCGTTGCACTATGTTTCTGATAAGGTGAAAATTGTGGCATCGTTGAAGGGTCATTGATTTTGGAGTGTAAATATTGAAGATAAGTCATCTTTTCTGCATAGGGAGTGACAAGTCTGATAACATATATGATTAATTATACTGCAAGAGCTTTTAATATGAGATAAAAAGCCTCTCTATTAGTTATCAGAGAGATGTTGCCAAAGTACATGATAAATGTTGATAACATTAATTGTATCTGTTTGAGAGCAAAAAAGACTGTTTGCGATTTTATTGATGTGATGAACAGATTATTGTTATCAATTCCCTACTTCCGTCCATCTTTTTTGTTTTAGGTTGTTTAATGAAAATTTCTAATTAGTTAATGACTGTGTATGTATACAACTAATTGTCTCTATTCCTGTTTGGGGTTTTTTTTTTTTCCCCCTTATTTAACATTCTATTGCTGAGTTGTGAAAAGTCAACATCGAAAACACAGTGGACTGGAGAGTAATTTTTTTTTATTAAAAAAAAAAATCTAATGTGTTGTACACTTTATATTTGTGAATTGTGATTTTATTTTTTTTATTTTTTTTTTGAGTAATTCACTACTTGATATAGTTGTTAACCAATCAACTTTAGGTCTTAAGCTAGCTGCATACACATGTCATAGGGTAGGATAATTGTATGCAGCTGAATAAACGGCAACAACTATCCTGTATGCCATAGACAACATATTGGTGGGCTGTTGGCTTTCAAATGGATGTAGGTAACTGACTTTATAACTTATAGTATTACTCTTTTTCCAAATATTACTTCGGATTTACTTGTGACTTTGATGGGTGAAATTTACTAACTTTGACCATGAACTTCTCCAACATTGTATAGAGTTTGTCTGATAGCATAGATAGATTTATGTTAGTCAAAATTATTGAAATTAGCTATCAAAATTTTGTCCAACATTTGGCCACAAAATTTAATTGTGGCTTTATACGATTGAGAAATAAGGGAATATACTTTTGAAACATAATTGACTAAGGCACTGCATGGGGCTGTAGGTAAAATTCTAAGTACATATCTTCATAACAATTACATAAGGCACTTATCTCCTATCAACAACTGTGGTTCGATTGTTAGCAGGGACATTTTTTTCCTTGTTTAGAGAGACCAAAAATGCAATACTCTTGTTTCTTACTTTGAACTACTTTTTATCGTTTGCAGGACCATCATTTTTCCTTGTTACAAAGACAGAATGAAAAGCTTCACAATGATATTGAAATGCTGCGTAGTGAGCTGAGGTGAGTTCTATCACTGTGTATCTTTCTTGTTTACCTAAACTGGATATCTGGATTTAGTCCTTGGCCTAGAATTTAATTGATATTTGGATTAGGTATGAATTTGACAAGATAATTAATGCGGTGAAAGCTCAACTGGAAGCTGGAAAGGTAGAGATGATTAGAATCTGGATCGGTACCCTTGCCTCCACTGTTGCTGTTGGTCTTGCTATCTTTCAACTTATGGGCACTTAGCACAATGGTTATGGGCATTTAGCATCAAGTGTCACATATATATTAGGGCTGAAGTTTGGTGCAAATGTGTAATGGTGCCATCTTATCAAGTATTAACTCTACTTTTGTCCTGAAAAAAGTGGTGTCATATTGCTTACTGAAGCTCCATATTTTTGTACAAAGTTCTCACCAACCAACACCACAGACATATCTTTCTTTCTTACTTGTAAAGTTTCAAACTACGGCCATAGTACATGTGGTACAAGGTACAACCTCATTAAAAAAAAACTTAATGATTAGTCATTAACCAAATATTCATTGTTTCTAATTTTTTGTTTGTTTGTACTTTGTAGCATCCCTACCTTTTTCAATACAAGATTACAAGCTAACATATTTTGTCGAACAAGTTTTGGGCTCATAGTAACAACTTTCAGTAGGGTTTTTTTGATGAACCGCTAAATGTCGCTCCCAATTTACCAGGCGTCGCTCACATTTTGATATGGAAGGACCATATTATCCTTTCCATAATTTGGACTATGTAAGGCTCCACCACTTGGTTAAAAAAGATTCCCGAGCATTTTAATATTATTCCTGAGCACATTTGATCAATCATTTGGTTTTAAAAAAATTCCGAGCCCACTACTTCCAACCCAAAATTCCCGAGCCCACCACCAAAAATCTGATTTTTTCTGAAAAAGTTTTATTAAGCTTTAGTGACGGGTTTAGAACGATGGATGACGACAATGATCCTACACCGGAGGCATCGTTGGAGGATTTTGTAAGTCCTCAAAATTATTATTTTTATTTCTTGAAAAGCGTACATCCGCCTAAAAAATTTGGATCCTCCATGGCATGTGTAGGGATTCGTAGTGACCCGACACTACGCGGAAGGAAACCCCACAAGACCCGCCCCTTAATTAAAGCAATTAACAAGCATAATAAACTTAATCAAACAAGATTAAGAACAAGAATTATACCTTTGTTGCGTGCTTCGCTCCCGAAGAGCTCTTACTTCAAAATCCCGAAACTACGAGATCTCCGACGGATCGTACCCTCGACCCGACCCGAGCGTCCCAAGTCTTGAAGGTTAGTCAAGACCCGGACAAGCAAAACTATGAGTTTTACGAATCAAAGGTTTACTCTAATTACAAGAGTTGCCTTTTTAATTCCACTCAAGGTTATCCTTCCCAATACCCATGCCTTTGGTATTTATAGGGAATTGGATCCTTGATTTTCATTTCCCAACCAATGTGGGAGAATGAATAATTTTGACGATTAATTTAATTCCAAAATAAATTAATAATCAAATCAATCACAATGCAACAAGTGTCAAGGGGAGAGAGAGAGTTAGGTGAGGACCATGTACCTTGGGGGGACCATTGCCTTACTCCCCAAGGCATGGCTCTAAGCCTTGGTCCCCACTCTCCTCTCAAAACCGCCACCAAGGGCTGCTGGGCTGGCAGCCAGCTAGCGTGCCAACTAGCCCAGCCACCCAGCACAAGGCAGCAAGCATCAGCCCAGCCAGCCCCATGTGCGCTGCGAGCTGCTGCTGGGTGATGCCTACGCTGCTGCTTGCTAGGCGCTAGGCGCTGCTAGCAAGTGTTGCTGGCTGCCTGGCTCTTGCACGCACACGCACACCCTCGCACTCCCAGCATGCGTGCTGCTAGCGAGCCACGCATGCTGGGCATTGCCTCGCCAGCCACACGCACAAGCATGCGAAGCTTGGTGCTGTGATGCTGCGATGGCTTCCATGCACACGCACTGAGCGAGGCTCGTGCTGCTGCTGCGATGCCCTCCACGCACACGCACACACGCACTGGCCTAGCCATGCGATAGTGCTGTGCTTGTGCGAGGGGCCTGCGATGGTGCCTAGCACCCAGGCACGCATGCTGCGGTGCACTGCCATGCGAAGGCACGCATACGCGCAGCCATGCTGCTGCGATGGTGCGATAGCCCTAGGCACAAGCACACGCACACACGCACAAGCCTAGCCATGCGATGGTGCTGTGCTTGTGCTGCGATGTTATTCCAGGATCTACCTATGTTGGATTAGAGAATGTTGATAAAAAGATCAAAAGCCGTAAATACTTTACAGCAAATGTTCTGTAATAGTCAAGGATGAGTACTAGCGTACAGCCTATCTGGCAAGATGACCATTGCAATTCTAACACATTTTCAAAACTCTGTATGTTCTAATTTGTAAGATGCGTATAGCCAAACAAATTACTGTTATAATATTTACGCATCTAATATAAATTTTCCACACCTCTTTTATCTAATATAAACAAACACCTTAACTTTGTCCAAACTTGTTGAGATCAAGAATAGCTATCTAATATCTTGCATGTCATTCAATTTCTTAAGCATTTACATGAAATAGGCAGCTACAACAACAGTACAATAAAGGGAGTATGGGGGTCTTACCTTGAATAAAGAAGCCATTTATACTCAAAAAAAGGGGAGAATTTCAAAGAGTCCACTCTCAATAATTGGTGTCCTGCAAAGATAGGACAAGTATTAACTTTCCATCCAAAAACAGAAGGATTCTGTCATTTTGATGATTAATTGAGTATTAAATCGACCCATTTACGCCTTCATACTTCCCCTAAGTAATCGTAGTGACCTTAAACATTCAGCTAACAGGCCCTTGGTTCCAATATATACCAGTAATAAACTAATAAATTTTTTTTTAAAAAAATACTACCTTCGTTAAGTATTAGTTGCAATTTTGAAATATTTTCTCACTCTCAAACAATATCCCAAAGTTGCAACTAATATTTAAAGGAGGTAGTACTATTAATGAAAGTGTAGCATAAAACTGAAAGCGCTGCCCAAGTATTTTGACACAAAAAATCACTTTACATATATCCCTCAGTCCCCCATACCAAAATTTTATGTGGAAAAAAGTATAAGAATTCATTTATTGCACTGTTTCCCTGAAACATATAGGCCTTCACATATATGATTCCAGCATAAGCAAAAACTATTAAGAAAATTCACTATGTTTTACAATGAGCCACCAATTGTTTTAATCCTTTGTTTGAACAGAACGAGTAACTGAGATCAACAAGTACCACCATCATAGTAAAGTGGTTAAAGTTTCGGAAATAAGGAATATTTGGGACAGCTGAACCATGTTCCGATACCTGGATTAGCTGGAGCCTATGAGCAGGCCCAACACAAAGAATTTTCCATGATAGTTGCTAAACCTGCAAGCCGAACCTGAATAGGAGTAGGCTCGACTTGGCTTTAGACATGCTCGGCTAGAGATCGAAGCGAAAAAAGAGAAGGAAGATTAATGAAATAAGTAATATCAACCTTTAGATCTAAATTATATCAATGATCAGAATTTATTCATTTGCTGGTAATTTTTTTTTTTTTCCGTAGTACTCCCTCTGTCCCTCAATTTTTGCCCCATTGCAAAAATATGGGTCAACTTTTAAAACTTTGACCATGAATTCTCGTTGATCTATAACTTATAATATATTCATGTGGTATCTTGTTAGAATTGTTTCATTGTATAGTTTATTAGTGTCAAACTTTTATAATTTTTACGCGCATAGAAATGGAGATATATGCATTTGGAGACCGTGAAAAGTCAAATGGGGACAAAAAATAAGGGACTGAGGGAGTAGTATTTTTATTTTGGCTATCAGCCTATTACGGGGTGTTTTACCTACCACATTGACCAACTCTACAGTGTGTAAGATTGAACACTTATCCGATCAAGCTTATACGAAACGGTAATAACTATTCTTGTAAGGCCCCATTCACTTCACCTTATTTTTGTTGAACATAAATTATTTTTAATGAACTTAAATAAATTTTACTAAAATTAATTTTGCTGAACTGAAATTATTTTTATTTTTATTATATTTTTTCTCTAAAATTATTGATTTTCGCTTAACTAAAATTATTTTTTACCGATTCTCTATTATATTTTTCCTTTAAAACTATTAATTTTTGTTGAACTGAACTTATTTTTATTGAATTGAAATTATTTTTACTGAATTGAAATTAATTTTGCTGAATATTTTTTTTTTAAGGTGAAGTGAATAGGGCCTTGTACTAGTTGAGTCGTTAAAAGACTTGTAAGTTGTGTAACCATATGGAGCGGCGTTTGGTACCCTCACTGGTTTACTACTTTACTCTATTAATATGTGCCCAATATATATACTCTATAAATATCAACGAACTAATTTGTGAATTTAAAAAGATCAATTAAAAGTTAAAGAGATGAAATTGGAAAATTTTAGTAACCTCCCATTATTTCTTTATGACTTGGTCATATGTGCCTATATTAAATTTATTGCTTTATTTTCTTACTCCGGGTATTTTCTTACCGAGAATAATTAAGCTACGGTGTTAAGAGAAGACGTAGGTGTTGTTTGGTTGATGTGGGAATTTAATTCAGGAATTTATAGTTCATGGGAAATTAATTCTTTAATGAAATTCCTAAGAATTTATAAAATGTGTTTGGTTGGCAATAAGGAAAATTGAAATTCCCATGAATTTTGGTTTACCTAGGGTGGCTAGGTAATTCATTTCCCATGTTTAGTGAGAAGTTAAAATTCCCATAAATTCCCATTTCTCCCATTTTTGTTTTTTTATGTCAACCAAACAAGGCTGTAGTTTTACCATATACAAAGACTACAAACATTTTATTTTATGTTGGATTGTGACAAATTAGGGTGAAGAGAGAATATAATAGCTTGTTTATTATTCATCAATAGGTAGAGTATTTATACAAAATCTACGCTCATAAGATAAGAAACATATTCCTAAAAGATATACTACATAATTATAAATAATCCTAAAGATATATACTCTAAATAATATCTTAGCATAAATAATCCTACATATATTATTCTTTTAATGATATCTACGGAAAATATATCCCACTTATATTTTCCTATATATTCTCTTAACGTTGGAATTCTTCGCTTGAACATCTTGCAATTTCTTGTTGCTCAAGCTCGTTTAATTCTTCGAAATTCATAAATTTTACCAAATTGCATCTGATTCTTCAATGGCAGCTGCTAAGCGCGCGATTCAATTCGGTGTAAATTCGAGTAGGTTCTTCGCTAATTCGAGTAGGTTCTTCGCTAATTCGAGAGGTTTTGCTGCTGTGGATCCGCAGATTACCCGATTCAATCATAATTTTCGGCAATTCTCTCAGCTTCAAGCTCCCAACAATCGGCGTGGATTGCTTGTCGATACTTTAGCTCTGGTACTTGATTTCTCTCTACATTTCATCCGATTTCGTGATGATTTCTTTGATTTTGTTAGCATTTTGTGCATATTTTATCTGCATTCACTTGTTAATTAAAATATTTGCATTGAAATTATAGTATTGTAGTATCATACTCAATAATTTAGCTTCATTTTGTAGTTTCAGATTTAATTTTTCTAATACTCTGAATTGTAGTTCTTTTTATGGCTGATTTTGTTTGATTTATAGTAAATATAAGTACATTGCACTATTATGCTGTTTTTGCCTGTTTGCGATTTAATTGCTAGAACTTGTACTTTTAATTTGGCTGATTTGCGGAACTTGACAAATCTATCGAGATTTTAGGTTTTAATATGCAAATTATTGTTGATGAATATAGGTGAGGAATTTGGAGGCACAAGGTATTCCGCAGAAGCAGGCTGAGGCAATTACAAATTCAATTGTTCAAGTTGTGGGTGACAGCATGGAAATGCAAAAGGTATAATTACTGTTTTTTTTTTTTCAGTATCTTCGGGCTTGTTATATACGAGTAGACGGAGTAGTCGAACTTATCGATCTTTTGTTGTCTGAATGTGGTGTAGACGGAAATGCTTCAGGATTCAGAAATTTCCAGATTCATAGGTGAAGTAAAAACCTCTCAGGTATAGAAACAAGCTATTACTACTCTATACTTGTTTGCCTTGCAAAATATATTGAAGATTAAGCATGAAATGCTATATAAAGTGATACTTTACTATGTAAATAAGAAGCTCTATGTTCATTTACCATTTATGTGAAGTTCTTTGTAATGAAGAAATATGAAATGTTATATAAAGTGATACTTTGTATTTACTGCATGAAATATGGATTGATTTCTATTTGGTTGGACGACTTGATTCACTTGAATATGTGTCAAATTGATCCAAATATATGTTAGTGTAGCAATTCCAGAACTACAGTCTGAAAGATTCTCATGTTTGAGCAATTGAATGTACTCTCCTGGAGAGCAATTTGATTTTGTTAACAGTATACTCCGTAGGTGTGTCTTGTTCCACCTGAATTGTTCTATCTGAAATCTTTTTATCAACTAGTTATTGCCTTTTTTTCTGTCTCCTTTGGCACTTTTTTGTAAAAAAACATTTTTTCTGTGAGATCGTCAATTAGGGTAGGAATTTTAAATTTTATTTGTTCAAGCAGATAATTCACTTAATGTACAAAGGGTCTTTTGAATATGGACTTTTAGCTGTACTACAAGTTTTTTTGACTTGGAATATGGAGAATATACTCCGTAGTTTTTAGATACAGTCCAACGAACTTTGCAATGTCATATATTGAAAGGATGCACATTGATGGACCCGCATCTTGCACTTGCTTCTTCGGATTCATCACTTATATTGGGTGTTACCTTACCATTGGTGAGAACTCACAGATGAATTTGCCCTTTCTGTCTGAAAAGTTGGAATGCCTGGATAAGGCTTATAGTTTCACATCACAGGAGCTGCAAGCCTTATTATTATTTTTTTCATTCCAACTCCTCTATTGTCATTCTTTCTTATTCTGTCCAGCTAAACCTCACCTCCTCCTTGTAATTCTACTTCTCAATAACTTGAATAAAGCATATGGACCAGACTACAATATGACTCCCACCCTATATAGTACCTGGATCTTTTCATGGTTATTTTAAAAAGCAAAATAAAACTGGTAGAGATCCTCAAAAAGAGCAACAGTCACTTGTCTAACACCTTTTTACCTCCCTGAATACTCTGTATGTAACTGAGGAAAAGTAAGTTTTTTCATTGACAAAAAAGCTAAGCTGATTCATTAAAATAGTGTCATGTGAGCTAGAAAAAAGGGACAGTGCAGGGAAAAGATGTTCCTCGCATGGAGATTGTGGACCTTCGTATGGCAGGTGATACATGTGCTGTATCGATATGTTCATTAGAAATATCCCTTAACCACGGTTGTTTAAAATTCTAGATTAGAAGTAGCTTTTTATTCTTATTCATTGTAAAGATCATATTGTTGCGTTTCAGAGAAAACAGTTTCTTTGTTATCTATTGTCAATAGGATTTTTGCACTTTAAACACCCCTTTCTGCCTAAGAAGCCCCTTTACATGTAGTTATCAAGGTTGATATTGATATTATTTTGGAAAATTTGGGAGTGTAAGGCAAGATGGTGAATTTGAGCTGAATTATTAACTAGCAGTCTCACCATCAGGTTGAAACTTTAACTTGTTTTTTGTTTGATTTTAGTTATCTCAAGGCTTATAGAGTAATAAAGTGAGACTATCAATTTAGTACAAAGTTTGTATTATTAGTCACACCCTCAAGCTTATAACATTCATCCCAACTTCCAAACAGTACCAATTGAAAACTCTCCTCCTCACATCTCAGTTTTATTGCACTTCTTTGCCTACTTAGCTGGGTGAAGCTGTTTCTTCGTTGCACTATGTTTCTGATAAGGTGAAAATTGTGGCATCGTTGAAGGGTCATTGATTTTGGAGTGTAAATATTGAAGATAAGTCATCTTTTCTGCATAGGGAGTGACAAGTCTGATAACATATATGATTAATTATACTGCAATAGCTTTTAATATGAGATAAAAAGCCTCTCTATTAGTTATCAGAGAGATGTTGCCAAAGTACATGATAAATGTTGATTACATTAATTGTATCTGTTTGAGAGCAAAAAGACTCTTTGTGATTTTATTGATGTGATGAACAGATCATTGTTATCAACTCCCTACTTCCGTCCATCTTTTTTGGTTTCGGATGTTTAATGAAAATTTCTAATTAGTTAATGACTGTGTATGTATACAACTAATTGTCTATTCCTATTTGGGTATTTTTTTTTTTCCCTTATTTAACATTCTATTGCTAAGTTGTGAAAAGTCAACATCGAAAACACAGTGGACTGGAGAGTAATTTTTTTTTATTAAAAAAAAAAATCTAATGTGTTGTACACTTTATATTTGTGAATTGTGATTTTTTTTTTTTTTTTTGAGTAATTCACTACTTGATATAGTTGTTAACCAATCAACTTTAGGTCTTAAGCTAGCTGCATACACATGTCATAGGGTAGGATAATTGTATGCAGCTGAATAAACGGCAACAACTATCCTGTATGCCATAGACAACATATTGGTGGGCTGTTGGCTTTCAAATGGATGTAGGTAACTGACTTTATAACTTATAGTATTACTCTTTTTCCAAATATTACTTCGGATTTACTTGTGACTTTGATGGGTGAAATTTACTAACTTTGACCATGAACTTGTCCAACATTGTATATAGTTTGTCTGATAGCATAGATAGATTTATATTAGTCAAAATTATTGAAATTAACTATCAAAATTTTGTCCAACATTTGGCCACAAAATTTAATTGTGGCTTTATACGATTGAGAAATAAGGGAATATAATTTTGAAACATAATTGACTAAGGCACTGCATGGGGCTGTAGGTAAAATTCTAAGTACATATCTTCATAACAATTACATAAGGCACTTATCTCCTATCAACAACTGTGTTTCGATTGTTAGCAGGGACATTATTTTCCTTGTTTAGAGAGACCAAAAATGCAATACTCTTGTTTCTTACTTTGAACTACTTTTTATCGTTTGCAGGACCATCATTTTTCCTTGTTACAAAGACAGAATGAAAAGCTTCACAATGATATTGAAATGCTGCGTAGTGAGCTGAGGTGAGTTCTATCACTGTGTACTTTCTTGTTTACTTAAACTGGATATCTGGATTTAGTCCTTGGCCTAGAATTTAATTGATATTTGGATTAGGTATGAATTTGACAAGATAATTAATGCGGTGAAAGCTCAACTGGACACTGGAAAGGTAGCTTTGATCAGATACTACATCGGTACCCTTGCCTCCACTGTTGTTGTTGGTCTTGCTTTCTTTCCATTTATGGGCACTTAGCACAATAATTATGGGCATTTAGCATCAAGTGTCACATATATTTTAGGGCTGAAGTTTGGTGGATCCAGATTTTTTGCGGATGTCCAATTTTTTTTATTTATTATTTATTATTTTTTTTAAAATTAATTAATCAAATTTATAATTTTTATTGTGATTGTTGTTATTTTTGTGATAATTTAAATAGTGGAAAGCTAAACGTCGTCCTCGAATATCTACCTAATGTCCGCAAAATAAAATATACTTTACAAATTTATTAAAAAAAAAAAATTACCCCCCTCAAACATAATTTACCCACCCTCCCTTTTCTCTTTCTAAACCACCACCACCACCTTTTACCACCCAATACTACCACCACCATCACCTCCTCTTTTAACCACCAACCACCACCTCCTTTAACCTCCGGTTTCTCGATCTACACAGCTGCGGAAATGACAAGGAAGGATAAGGGGAAGGCGGTCGCCGGAGACAAGGTTTGTTTTTTTATTTTTTTTTTATTTTCTGAAATCAGGTTCAAATGCCCTGTTTTTTCGAACAACCTAGGCTCAAATGCTTAGTTCGTTCGAACAACCGTATGGTTGTACGAAAGATCTAGGCGGTTGAGATGAAACGCCTAGAAAATTCAAACAGCCACACGGTTGTTCGAACGAACTAGGCGTTTGAGCCTAGGATGTTCGAAAAAACTAGGCGTTTCAGCCTAGGGTTTTCGAAATCCTAGGCGTTTGCCTGGGTTTCGAATCTAAAAAAAAAAAATTATGAACACACACCGAGTCCATACGGTCCAACGAGCCTTCGGCGAGCAGCATAGGTTGTGTTTTCGGTATTTCGTTGTCTTCCATAAGATCCAATAAATTTGATTTTGCAAAATTTATAAAATTTGTTTGATTTTGAAAATTGCGGTGGTTGGTCCAATGATCGTTGGTGGCCGTTGACCACTGGAGAGAACGGTTAAAATTTTTGTGTACGGTAAAAGTGTGAAATTGAGGTAAAATTAATTATTTTAATAATCCTTATTATAAGGATAAGTATGTAATTTTATGTTATTTGCGGGCATTGGTTAGATATTCGAGGGCGATATTTAACAACCCCCTTTAAATAATTAGTATTAGTATTATTATAAAATATTATTTATTTTTGTGAATTTGCTGATTTTTTTTTAAATTTCAATTTTTAAATTTATCGAGCGTGAAATGTGTTGTAAGTGTCGTGAGTATTTATATACGAGGGGTAAATACGGAATTTCAAGAAAAAATGTGAGCGACGCCTATTAATTTGAGAGCGACATTTAACAGAGATTCCCTTATCATTAATTTTTTTTCCTTACATTCATCCCAGTTGATCTAACCTATAAAGATAGACTTGATTGGTTTGTGAGAGGTGCTATTCAATATGAGCCATGATCATTCACCTTAGAAATAAATAAATATAAATCAATACAATTATCTTTTTGTCGCGGTTAAACTCACATTTACCCAAATTTTGTGTACACCTTAATAGCCATTTGAGCTAATTAAGCATTGCAGTCCTTACCTTATTTTTAATTATTTCGAGCCTTCGATGTGTTTTTTTCAAATGTTTATTTCAAGGCTAATAAAAGTCTATATATATAAAGCAAGTTACTTTAAATACTAAACTTAATTAAATTTGGATAATATTTAAATTTGAATAAGTTTAATCCTGACTCCTGTAAAAGCTATACAAATCCAATTCAAAAGTGGACATAAAAAATTATTTGAAAAAAAAAGAGTTCAATTAACAATTACAACGACCTTATTAGATGAATATAGGACCAAGTAATCAATAAATTTAGATATATTAATGTAAGTTCAGATAAATGAAGGTTATATAAAGTGAATGCGAAATATAATACACCATACGATCATTAACATTACAAAAAACGAAGACAAATGGCTAAGAAACATTAATTAAGTATAACAAAAGAATTTAGTCAATAAAACAAGTGGACCTAACTTTGGATTTTGGAGCCACCTCAATAGCTCAGTCCTCACTTTAGTTTCAACGCTTTAAAATTAAAATTAAGGTCTTATTTAATTGACAACATTAATAGAGAAAGTACAAATTTATGAGATTTGATAAATTGAAAAGTTGTGTGGTTAACACAAAAAAACAAAAATGAGGGTAGTTAAAATTTATGAGAATTTCAACTTCCCACGAAACAAGAGAAGTAAATTATCTAGACCCCCTAGGTTAATCAAAATTCATGAGATTTCTAAATTTCCACATTTACCAACCAAACAAATTTAGGAAATTCCTAGGAATTTCATTAGGGAAATAACTTTCTATGAAATGCAATTTCCTATGGAATTTAATTTCCATGTCAACTAAACAAGGCCTAAAATAAAATAGATTTAAATTGCAATCTTTGATCATAAAAGGCAAAGCAAAAAATAAAGCTAAAAAAACCCAATCCAAAAAGAAAAAATAATAATAATAATTTTTATGGTAATAATAATTAAAAATAATAATAAAAAAAATCTTTAAGAGCAAACAAAGCCGTCATGATTCTGACAATTGTTAACAACCTTGCCTCAGCTGTAAGCAAAGGCAAACGTTTTCATTCGTTTGCACCCACATTTATTTTCCTCTTTAATTCCCTCCCACTATAACAAATTTTTAACTTTGCGTAAACTTTACCCCAAATTAGGGTATATTAATACGAGTACGATAATATTACAACAATAATAATCCCTTTGCCTCCTAGGATTTTTGTTTTATTCATCTGTTTTTACTTATTTGAACTTATCAGAATTTTTTTTAACTTATTAAAATTTATTTTAGTTGTAATTTGAACTTGGTCAAACCTTATCAAAACTTATTTTTATTGAACTGAACTTATCTGAACTTATCAGACCTGAAATAAGTGAAAATAAGGTGAACTTATTAGACTTTACTAAAATTTATTTTAGTTGTAATAATATTCTTCTGATTTTTACTTATATGAACATATGTGAACTTATTATACTTTATTAAAACTTATTTTAGTTATACATTGTACTTAGGTTATTCTTATCAAAATTTATTTTTCTTGAACTAATCTTATCTGAACTTAACTAAATTAATATGAACTTATTAGACGTAAAATAAGTGAAAATAATCGATTCTCCTCTTTAAATGGTGATTATCTCATAAAAAAATTTAAATACTAACAAATTTTAATAACGGAAAAACATAACAGTAGTACCGAATTATACCAATTTTGTATGCTTTTTCTTCTAAAATATGGCATGTATTGTGCATAAAAACAAAGCTCACATGATTTTCCACTCCCTTTTAATTTAAAGAAATTTCACGTTTCATTGCATGAAACACTCACTCACTCTCACTTAAAAGTCTTTTTAACTCTTAACTTCTTTGAAATTTAAAAATTTAAATTATAACCTAAAGTATTATTTTTAAGTGCTATCAATCTATCATTGTAGCATGTATGTCTTTATCATATAATACCGAATTTCAATATTTTGACATGGTCTTTTTGGCGGCCATGATTTTCTAAATTCTATCTATATTTGTCTATTTCTTGACACATTATAAATTTGTGACGTTTATTTAATATTATTTGTGTAGCTTAAAAACTTGAAACAATTTGGAGTTTTAATATTTTGAAAGATGTTTCTTTTAGAAAATATTATGGTTCAGTTACACAAATTCGAAAGAAACATGTCAACATCTATATGCTTCCCTTTGAACAGAAAATTTGGGAATTGCAAATGGAAGTTATGACATAACTTGTAAGCTTATCCTACTAATCCTTTCGGTTAGAATTGTCAATGTAGACGGTATGAATCATAAATTCATATTGGCCTATTGCCTGCCTATAGGTGTGCCTACCTATACAATATCGTGCACTCCCCCAACGTTGATTTGAACGTGGTGAGTAGGATTCGAATTTGTGACCTCAAAAGTTTAGCCGATAGTCTAAGCGATCATGGGACATATTTCTTAATTGAACTTGAACCATTCATCTAAAGGGGGAGTGTATTGTATTACTCTCAACTTGTATTCGTACAAATGTACAAGCATACTAGTTGTTTCGGGGTTTTTTGATGTCCTGCGGGAGAGTTACAATTCCGGGACTGGTATCCTTGCGCCTGTACCTGCAAAACAACGGAGACTCCGGGTGGTGGGAGCTCCGCCTCCGACGATCAAGTTAGTACTTGTATGTGGAGTAAGAAGTACGGAAAAGTAAAGGTGGGGATCTGGTTCCTCAAGGGAGGAGTGATCAATCTGTTTAGGCTTCTCTAGGTGAGAGTAATTAATTGCTTAACCTTCTTTAATGAGGATTAATTAAAGTATTTATAACCTTGGGAAGCGTGCCCAACTCTAGGTTTAGATCAACCTAGAGCTGATTGGGCTTTTCCCGGAAGATGAGCCTAGGTGGCCATTTTCCTAGGTGGAAAACAGCAAGCCACTTGGCGTGGCTTGATTGGTCCATGGTGGACAAATGGCTGTGTGCCACGTGGCAGACCCTAATAGGTCCCAATGGGGGACACTTGGTAGGTCCTGATTGGTCCACATGGCGTACACTGATTGGGCGGGGGAAAATCCCCTGATCATTTGCCCCTCACAGGTGGCACGTGACTGGTCGCATGTCACCTGTGACAGGTGGCGGCCTGCAACAGGCGATGGACTGCTACAGGTGTCGTTCTGTGAATGGCCGAGAGCTTTTTCCCACTCATTTTTTGAATTCAGAAGTGACCCTTTGTATTTTCCTTTTACCCTATATAAGGGCATGTTGACCAAGTCTTCTGTTCACATTTTGCGAACTTGCAAGAGAACACTCGGACCCCTGAACTTGAGCTCTGATTTTCTGGACGACTGACTTCACCAACTGCCTGCTTTATTAGACACCTGTTCAATCAAGTGCCCTTTCAGAACTTAAGTTTCAGGTAACCGTCTGTTCCTTTATCCTTTTCTGCTTTGCTTTTGCATTTTTTCCTTTCTTTTTGAAAATGAGGCCTCAAAAGCATCCGGCACGGCCTAGGTTAGCAATCAGCCGGTCACCAGGGACGGCTGAGTCTAGGACTAGGGGTGTCGACTGCCCTGCGGTACTTCTAACTTTGCGCAAGTCCCGGAATCCAACTGTCTTTGTATCTATGCAGGACAGTATGGCAAGAACAAAAAGAACAAAGAGGA